TGCCTGTGTCAGGTTATGCTGTGTCTTGTATCTACCAACGGATAGTTCTCGGAGTAAAATTCCAAGCAAACGTCAGGACTGAGGCCATGTTAATTTGTGCACAGTAACGTCCCACAAACAACCATTAAATGGTTGACCAATATTATTTGGAGTATGTGTGTACACAGGTCAGACTGTGGGTATGCTCTGTGTATACGGGTCAGATTGGGATTAAACTCTGGATACACGGTCCTGCCGGCCAGCTCACATTCCAGGCTTTATATCATAAAAGTGGAGTTAAACATTGAGTTCCCGTACACCTTGGACAGGCAAGCTTGTGAAATTTATTGTTTTATTGTTTGAAATCGTCTTGTTTTCAACTCGTTTCCCAGGAGTCCGGTTCTTGGCACAGAAAGAGAGCTACTTCTGTGTTGCAAAACTTTGTCTGGAACTTTATCCCGATTTAATGATAGGGTGGTGTCAGGGGATTATTATGGAACTACTTCCAACTGATACAATTCCTGATGTTCAAAACTTGTTTGAGATCTTACCCTGAGTGAACGTTGTTCTCTGTCACAGGCAGTGTGTGCTGAGGCTGGTTAGACACATTCCTGTGGCTAGATAGCAAGACGTGCTTTTCTTTAACCCAGTTTGTTATAATACAAGGTGACTATCCTCCTTGGAATGGGGGGAGAGATAAACGCGGTTTCCTTGGAGCTGAACTGGCTCCAAGGTGACATGCCTAGCAATGGAATATCGGAATCGAGCCAGCACTCTGTGGCCGTCTCGGTAGTCCAGTTCCTGAGCCAGGTGGGTGTGCAGTATTCGAGGGCACTGTTGATGACAGCAGAGTCAGACTGGCTCATCCTACTCAGCTCCTGTTAACCTTGCAAGTCAAAGTCCTAACGGGTAGGGTTGTCCTAGCTGGACAAGCAGCAGGAAAGCTTGCCGGACAGCAATATCAATGGCAAGCTATAGGATTTTAGCTGGTTAGGCTCCAGCAGGACACCAAACCTTGGTTCTTCCCAACCTACGCCTAATACTTTCCGGAATTAGGTAAGCAGGATGCGTCCCTCCAGGGAGAGAGTGTGCATACCATTCCAACAATTTATTTCTGGGATTTCCATGTGTAGATGGGATGCATGGATATTTCAGTTTGGTTTAGATACTCTTAAGCATGGTGATGGGTTTCCGCATGTGTCAGATACGTGGCTGACAAAAAAAATCCTTGTGTTTTATACAGTGCCTACAAAACCAACACATCGCCAAGTTCTTCACTTGGAGGCATACTCGTCAGGTGTAGTCACTGTGTACCTGAGACTGTAAGATTGTGGGGTGAATGCAGAGTGAGATTGGTGAGGCTGCAGGTTCTATAAATAGAACATTATGTAATGAAACACAAATAGTTTCTAGTTTACCTAAGTTTCGGGCTAATGCTGGCTTTTACCAACTATGGTGCTGAACACATTGTTCCAGGAATCTGTCACACATCGTAACCTTGAATTGTGAGGTAAGCAACAGTTCAGAGCTGGCCTACCCCGGCGGTGCTAACTGTAAACTCTGAGGTTATAAACCTGTTCGGAATGATTATCTTTCAAGTCTATTTTTGTCCATATAAAAGGGGGCTACTTTGTGTTTCCAAAACAAAGGGAGAAATTTTAGGAGGAAAATTGAATGCACTGTCATATCAGTGAATAGTTTAGAATATTAACAACAACAACAAGATTCCATTTATAGAGCGCCTTTCACGTCGGGAGGACATCTCAAAGCGAATTACATGGTTTACAGTAAAGTGTAATGACTGACTGTAAAATTTATTTCTAGGCAAACACAGCAACCAATTTGCCCACAAAGGAAGGTTTTCATGCGCAATCTGAAGATGGGTAAGGAAGGCGAAGGGTGAGAGGAAGACTGTCCCAGAGTTTCAGGCGTAGTGACTGAAAGCGCAGTTACCGATTGTGAAACGGAGAGCATTGGGGATATTCAGGAGGCTACAGCCAGTCGAGCAGAGGCAGCGGGCAATGGGTTGGGGAGTAAGCAGGTCGGAGAGGTAGGGAGGTGCCAGAGCATGAAGGGATTTGAAAATGAGTGTGAGGTTCTTGAAATAGATCTGTTCGGCTATAGGGAGCGAGTGGAGCCTGGCTAGGACCGGTGTGCACAGTAATTCCACTTCACACTGCATCCAGTGAAGTGTTTGAGACATGTTGATGTTGTAGGCGCTATGTCAGTTACAAAGATTATTATAATTAAAGTATATGTAGTTACACACAAACACACGCAGGGAATTACTGGCAGGCAGCCAACGCCTGTGGTTGACACTGTGACCCAGCATGAGTCAGTAACTCCAGGAGAGGTGGGAAGACTATGAGAGGGCAAAACAAAGTGCAGAAAAGTGCTTTCAAGAGGTTTCCCTCATTGAAACTCGAGGAAATATTTTATTAACAGGAGGTGTTGGGGTCAGTGAATGGTACATTTGTTCTCAGCCATGTGAAAGAACTGGGAGTTGCTAATGTGGGAGTGAGTCTCCCACATTAAGTGTTGGCTGTATTTAGAGAGTTAAATGACTCCTCGCCTCTGAGCTCGCTGGGAGTAACGGCTGCATGTGTTTGAGTTTGGCTCTGCATGTAATTTCTCTTCTCAAGTTAGTCACACTATTTCCAGGAGGGCAGTAACATCTGGAAACATCTCACGTTCCTTGTGTGTGTGTGTGTGTATGTGTGTGTGTGCGTACCGTGAATATAAGAGTGTGTGCACACACGTATGAGCGTATGTACAGGTGTGCATGTGTGTGGTGTGAGAATGATTGTGCGCACCGTGGAGTCCTGTAGCTCAGTGGTTAGAGCACTTGCTTTGCAAGCGAGAGACCTGAGTTCAATTCCAGGCAGAGGGCGAAACCTTGGGCAAATTTCCTTACTCCACACAGAGCCTAATAATAATCCCTCCAAAACCAAAAATAATAATAAATTGGTCATTTTCAATCTATGACTGTTTGTGGGACATTGCTGTGCGCAATTGGCTGCCGCGTTCGCCCACAAATATACAGTCAATTCACTTTACAGTGTGTTCTGTGAAGGGCTTTGGGACGTCCTCCCGACGTGAAAAGCGCTATATCAAATGCAAGGATTATTATTATTATTATTATGTGTGTGTACCTGCGCGTGTGTTTGTGTGTGCGTGCACAAGGTATTTGAGTGTTTGTGTGATGTGTATGTGTATGCGCAGACACGTGTGTGTATGAGAGCGAATGTGAGAGCTACAATTGCCCTTTTACATGTGTGTGTCTTGCACCTGTGGAAACCTATTACCAATGCCTAATAGTATCCAAACTGAACTGAGAGTTCTACATATCTACATGGAAATTTCCCTGTGTCTGGAATGGAATTCGCACTCTCTCCCCGAAGGGCCACACCCCACTTACCTAATCCTAGAGTATTAGGTTCAGGTTAGCAAGAACCCAGACTTGGGGACTCCAGTGTGTGTGTGGGATAACTGCTGGAATCTAACCAGCTGAAACCGCAAAGCTTGCCATTGAGAGTGCTGGGTGGTAAGCTTCCTGCCGCTTGTCCAGCCAGAACCACCCATCCATTAGGGTCCCGGCTTTCAGGGCTAGCAGCAGCAGAGTGTGAAGAATCCCTTCCTCCAGTGACTGATCTTTCATTATGTCCAGGCTTGATCATGCTAACTCCCTTCTCACCGAACCTTCCATCTCTTCCATCCACAATTATTCAGAACTCTGCAGCTCGTGTCCTCTCCCACACTAAGCTACAAGAGCCAATCACCCCCATCCTTGTCCTGCTTCACTGGCTCTCCATCTCCCAGAGGATTGAGTTCAAGATCCTCATCCTTATCTTTAAAGCTCTTCCACGAACTCGATCCTCACTACCTCTGCGACCAACTAAAACTTAGCAATCTGTCCACTCCCTCTGCTCAGCAGATACTGGCCTGTTCCACATCCCTCGCCCTGCCTGCTTCACCATCAGTGGTCAGGCCTTCAGCCTTTCTGCCTCCACCCTCTGGAACTCCATCCTGGAGCCTCTCCACCTTGCATCCTCCCTTGCCTCCTTCAAGGCCCATCTCAAGACCTTCCTCTAAGATCGTACCTTCAATCATCTTCCCACCACCCTCCTCTCCACCACTCTTGACTCCAATCTTCAGTTTAGATGCAAATCCTTCACAGTCCAGTGCCTTGGGACGTCCTCCCGACATTTTGTTGTTGTTGGGCTATCCCTCCAACTCTTGCCATATATCAGGCTGACTGGTGTGTGTTAAGCAGTGCCCTGGAGTATTGCAGATCCGCCTGCCTCAGGAACTGGACTAGAGACCGCCACAGAGGGTTGACTCAAGTCTGACATTTCGTTGCCAAAGATGTGCTTTGGAGCCAGCTGAGCTGCAAGCAAGAGCTACGCTAACAGAATTTATAGCTGTTTTCAGCCAGTGCCGAATGCTATGAGCTGTTTTCAGGACTTGTATTGCACACCTCTTGACTCTCAGTGTTTCCTCTCAGTTATTTTCCCCCTCCCCAAATTTGCCTCTAATTTTCATGACCTGGAGTAGGGAGGCTCCGTGTGATCTGGGAGGCTTGTCTGGGGGCTGGGTGTTGTCCTTATTAAAAATACATTTGGCTGTGTTTAAAAAAAAAGTTAAGAACTCAAATGCTGTTTTTGCTAAACTTTTTTATGAGTTAGTTTTAAATGAACACTGTACAAGGAATGTGTTACCAAAAAGTCTTATTTTTCAGCTACCCTATTATCTAAACAAAAATCATAACTTCTTTACGACTTATTAGACACTGTAACGGTATCGTGACTTTTTGGTCACCCTCCATATGTGATGTGTGTATCTGTATGTGGTTCTGGGTGCACATATCTGTGTAAACATTACTTTACACAGCATTAAAGTGGGTGTGGGTGTGAACAAATCCCCCCGTCCACCCACCCCACTCTCACTCCTTTGTGAATATTTCCAACAGAGGGACCTTGTTTGTGAGGGGGAGCGAAAGCGCCCTGGGCAGTGGAGGGTTAATTGCGTTTGGGAGGCCTGGTGTAGGAGTGGGAGGATAATAGTGGGAGCGTAACAGTTTGGTGGGCGGGAAGATAACTTTCTGGGTACTTTAGGTCAGATTGGCCAAGAGGATTTTGAGAAGAATTTTGAGCTGGGAACAGATGTAGTAAGAGAGAGAGAGAGAGAGAGATGGAGGGAGGGATGAGATCTTAATTTTCAATGGGATTACAGTTACAATCCAGTTGCAACCCTCAGAGGATCTGGTTTCTCAGGAGCTGAGCTGTTTATGTGGGACTCACTTCACGCGTTCAACTTAATTTCAACTCGTTAACCTTCCGAGGGGCTGGGGGCAATAGAGGAAGAGGCCGTCAATCAAGCTGATCCAGTCACGCCTGGTTGCCGCCCTCATTTAATGGTACAGTGGGGATGTGCGTGGTGGGCGTGTGTTCATTGTAAAGCATGTTTAATATTAACGCTGGGGATCTGAGTGCAGTCAGTACTGTGAGTGTCTGAGAGCAGGGATGATTTTGCCGTTCAAGCTTCTCGTGTGCCTGGTGTGTGTCAGTCTGCCACCTCCCGCCCAGGGATGGTGGAATTTCTGGGGAGCGGTGAACCCCACCACCCCGGTCTCCTCCTCATCTAAGACTATCCTGCAAAGCACCTCACCTACCGTAACGGAGAGACACAGTGAGGTCCATCTCACAGCCCGTTCATTCACCTCAGAGCAGACGACTACTCTGGCAAGTTCCAGCGGGCAAAGAGTAGCCACAGTGCCCCCTCTAATGACTACCGGGACCGCAACCGCTACATTCGTCCCCCCCAAAGCTGGGGGAGGAACTGCGAAGGGGAACATCGCCGGGGTTGGCGCTGAGATACTGAACGTGGCAGAAAAAGTCCAGGTCCTGCTTCGCTCCTGGGACGGAACAACACGCTCAACAACTGGACTGGATGTGGCTCCGACAACTGCGGCAGGGGAAAGAGCGACTGAGGGCTCCTCACCCCTGGATCCTGAGACACTCAACAATGTTACCGAAGGCTCCCCACCCCTGGATCCTGAGATACTCAACAATGTTACCGAAGGCTCCTCACCCCTGGATCCTGAGACACTCAACAATGTTACCGAAGGCTCCTCACCCCTGGATCCTGAGATACTCAACAATGTTACCCAAGGCTCCTCACCCCTGGATCCTGAGACACTCAACAATATTACGGAAAGCTCCTCACCCCTGGATCCTGAGACACTCAACAATGTTACCGAAGGCTCCTCACCCCTGGATCCTGAGACACTCAACAATATTACCGAAAGCTCCTCACCCCTGGATCCTGAGACACTCAACAATGTTACCGAAGGCTCCTCACCCCTGGATCCTGAGACACTCAACAATGTTACTGAAGGCTCCTCCCCCTTGGATCTTGAGACACTCAGTAATGTTACTGAGCTAAATTCAACTGAGAACTCATCACACCTGGATCCTGAGACCCCCATCGCTCTTGCTGAGCTGAGTTCAAATGCTGACCAGAGGAGTATTGAAGGCACCAATGCATCCACAGCACCAGTGGGTACTTTGGTTTCCAGCAATGCGTCAGTGCTTGTGACGGCTGCAACTCAGCCTACCACGGAGCCTTTCACTCTCTCGATACTCTCCAACTCCTCCTCCTCCTCATCTTCATCACCTTCGGCCATGCCTGTGACTCCTCCACAGCCAGAAACAATTCTGAAGTCGGCAGCCAACAGGCCGTGTGTCTCTCTCTGCCCAGGTACCATTGTTAGGAAGGCTCCGGTCTCGGGGGCATCGCTCCATGGCACTGTGGCACCCCCTGGGATACCTGACCACAAACGCCCACAGACTGCGGACACTCGGGACCCACTGATGACGGACAGCATGCATGAAGGCTCCCGGTTAGGAGTGCCGGGCTCTTCGGTTAACCAGCTATCCCATAATGCTCTGGAACCTAGCCACAAAATGTCAGCCGGGACAGGCGGTAACCACGGCAACCCAGGCCGGAGCCGATCGCCACTCGGAGATTGGAGAGCCAGTCGTTTCTCGGAGCATGATGGGATAGCACAAGATGGTCTAAACCAAACTAATCGTGACCCGGCCTTTAATCCGAATGCAACTAATGGTGCGCTGGGTGACTTTGCCCGTTCTGCTGTAGAAACTAAACTAGATTTACTAACACCTACTAAGTCCTCCAGTAGATCTCACACCACTTCGACAATGACTTGGGGGTCCAGGCACCCGGAGCCTGCCGTCTGCATTCCACTGCCCCCCGACCTGAATTTCTGCCACAAGCTGGGTCACCGGAGAGTTCAACTGCCGAACCACCTGAACCACAGCGGTCCGGCAGAGATCCGGGCCGCTGTGCGGGAGTGGGCACCCCTCATGCGCTCGCGCTGCCACCCTGGCCTGGAGTCTCTGGTCTGTCTGCTCTTGGCCCCAGCCTGCCTCACCCCCCTGCGCCCAGCGCCCCACCGTGGGCTCTGCGAGGCCGTGCAGGATAGCTGCTGGGCCTTCCTGGAGGGCGGAGCCCTTCCTGTGTCCTGCGACTCCTTCCCCGAGGAAGAGGGGAAGTGTGCGTGCGCGTCTGTCACGCTTAGCAGAGGTAATCGAAACCCACCTTCTGGCCTGTGTGTTGGGTGGGGAGGGAAAGGGTAATGGGGGAGGGGCAAAGGACGACATGCGGTCAAATCAAAAGGTACTGACCAGTCCTCACCACTCAACAAGAATTAAGGTTTCGTTTAAGAAAGTTGCAGGTTTACTTTGAGAAAGTCACAGGTTTCCTTTTGTTATTACAGATTCTAGCTGTGACATTGCCTGTGAAATTGTAAAGCCCTGTGCTGCTGCATTTGTGGGCTTGAAGTGGCAGAGCCAATGCTGGTCTGCAGAGAGGGTGGTGACAGCTCAACCTGTGGTGGGGGCGAGGGGACAAGAAGCATGTTTTGGGGGATGGGAGGAAAAGTCTAGGCTGACACTTCAGTGCAATTCTGGGGGGGGGCACTGCATTGTTAATGATGCCATGCTTCAGATCAGGAGTCAAGCCAAGATCTCATCTGCCTTTCAGGTGGATCCCATGGCCCTTTCAAAAAGAGAAAGGAGTTTCTCCCAATGTCCTGGCCAACAATCCCCCAAATCAAATTGGTTATCCACTTCATTGGTTGTTTGTGGAACAAGGCAGTGTGTTCGCCTACAAAATACAGTCTAATAACTACACTTTATAGTAACATTCCTACGAAGCTCTTTGAGACAGGCACTTTGATGGCATGATAATAACAATAATAATAATGCTTGCCTTATCACGCGTTGAGATGTCTCAAAGCACTTCACAAATATACTGTAAAGTGAATTGACTGTGTATTTTGTGGGTGAAACGTGGCAGCCAATGATATTATTTGTGATCATATTAGTATTAATTATATGAATTATTAATGATAGGGCGCTATATCAATTATTGTTATTATTGATAAGAACACGTCTGCTTCAGGGATTATAATTTCATTCTCTTTTCCATCTCCCTTTCCCCCTCCCCACCCTTCCTGAGCAACCAGGACATTGGAAAAACAGTTTTGCTGTTAGACACATGAGCATTCTATTTGCATTGACCAGTTTACAGTTGGGTTGCAACTAAAATAATTTCTCTGATATGATTATTAATAATAATAATCCTTGCATTGGACACAGCACCTTATCAAAAGGTCTCAGAGTGAATGCCAGTGTTTTTTTCTGTATAGTGTAGTGACTGCATTTGCAGGGAAACAGACAGGTGCAAACGTACTTGACTTGGCCTCCAGTGTTGGACGGTGAATTTTGAAAGTTGTATTTTGCAAAATCCATTGCGACACTGAGCCAGTCTTTCCTGTCAATCAATGCAACTGTCCCCTTTGTTGGCGCTCCAAAGCCAATGCAAAATTTTCAAACAAACTGGGAGCCACCTGTAAACGACAATAGTACGTACAGTCCTCTCACTGTGCCACTTGGGAGCTGCTGATTCCAAGTTGGGGGAGTGCTGAGGGATCATGGTTACTAACTGTGTGTGTGTGTGTGTGAGTGTGAGATGCTTTGTACAATACAATCAACCCTGCTATAACTCGGGGGATACAATGCGTTATAACAGGCTGTGCCCTGCCCCGCATCACATCCTGTTCACTGCGTGTGCGCTATACACATTTTGGCTCTCACTTGGCACTGGACACCAGTGATATACCACATACCCAATTGTACCACTGGTCCACAGTACAACCTCCACTGGATGTGCTATAACAGATTGTAGCCAAATGAGGAGAGACTTTATAATATAAACTGTGTGACCCAGGCCTCTGCAGGTCCTGTAACTTCCTCTGGTTTAGCCTCCGCTGCACCCGGGAGGTCTCTGACTCTAAGTGGAAACATCTGATTTTCAAATCACAGCTTCTCATAAAGAGAAACGCTCTGGGCAAGTCATGCTGAATGTTTCTGGGAGCTCAGTGATTAGTTCCTAATCCCTAGGGTGAGCGTGGCCTACAGTTATTTAATAAAATAGTTTATACATGTTTTACCCATACAGTTTGAGTGTAATCTAAATTCTTTCCTGACTTGGGGAAGGTGGGAGTGAAGATGGCTGGTTTTAACTTGTGAGATTCAAAATAAAAAGGGCATTTCACTTGTTAATGATCAAACCAGCAATTTCTTTAAAATCAAACTTCACAAATTTAATGACTAATTGTTGCCCTAAATTCTCCCAACTCACTCATTCCCTCCTTTAGTGGAATGACAGCCCGACCTGACCCCTCTTGTTACTGATGGACTTTCTGGCCTCTGGTCCCTGACTGGCTGACAACTCCTTATGGCCAGTGTGAGTGGGGAGGGTGGGTGAAAGGTCTGTATTACTCAGTCGGTGATGTGGGGGGGAAGGGATGGTGAGAGAACAACAACAACAATTTGCCTTTATATAGTACCCCTCACACAGGGCAGCGTCCCAGGGCGCTTGACAGTGGCGGAGCCCGATGCCGAGCCAGATGGAGGGGGAACTCCTAAGGTGCGACCTGAAGTTGGGGAAGGAAGAGAAAAGGTGGACAGAAGAGGGAGAGTATAGCAGAATTTCGGGGCATAGTGACTGAAAGTGCGGCTACCAATGGTGTAACGGAGGGCACGGACCCAGTCAAGCAGAGGCAGCGGGTTGTGGAGCAAGCAGATCAGAGAGGTAGGGAGGTGCTATGGCATGAAAGAATTAGAAAACGAGTGTGAGGATCTTGAAATCGATCTGTTTGGTGATAGGGAGCCAATGGAGCCTGGCTAGAATTGGTGGGATGAGGGTATGGAGTTTAGTGTTGGGGAGTATGCAGGCGGCAGTTTTGGATCAGCTGGATCCTGTGCATGGTGGAGCTGAGGAGACCGGCAAAGATGGCATTTGAGAAGTCGAGTCGGGAAGTGACGAACGCGTGGACGAGTGTTTCGGATGCATCTGGGAAAAGGTACGTTCCGAGGCAGGCAATGTGGTGGAGGTGGAGGAAGGCGGTCCTGGTCAGGGACTGGATGTGGGGACGGAAGGACAGCTGTAAGTCAAACGTGATGCCTAGGTTGCGCATTGGTTCGGTATTTTTGAGGGAGAGGCCAGGGAGGTTGAGGAAGTCAGAGCCGCAGGATAGAAGACAATGATGGGAGCCAATGAGCATGGCTTCCGTCTTGTCACCATTTAGTTCCAGGTAGTTTTCGCTCATCCAGGCCCTGATGTCTGCCAGACAAGCCGACAGAACACCTAGAGTTGCATCTGGAGGATTTGTGAGATTTGTGTGTCATCCACATAACATTGCCAAGAGGGAGCATATACATGAGGAAGAGGAGGGGGTCAAGGATGGAGCCCTTGGGTACACCACAGGTGATCGGTTTAGGGCGGGAGGAGAAACTGTTTGAAGAGATAAAGTGAAGTTGGTTTGTTAGGTAGGACTCGAAAGGTCTGTACCTTCCGGTCAGTGTGTGGGGCGATATGAATGTGAAACAGAGAAGGCACTGCCCACACTGGGATGGGATGAGTTGGAGTATAGAAAGGGTGGGGGGAGTTGCAGGTGGGGGTTGTGAGGGAAAGGGCAGTGAGGAGACTGTAAAGTTATCTGACTGTAAAGTTCTCCAGGCAGGGCTGGTGGGAGGTATCTGGTGGGATGCCATCACTAGAGTGTTAGCTGCACAGTTTTTACTGCTGCTGTTGTTACTGTAAAGTACCATTAGAAAAGTCCAGTATCTGTGTCCACAATTGAAAATCTCTTCCAGAAGCAAAATTAGTCACAAGCTTTGTCAATGGATTATTGTTTGCTCCCACGGCTGAAGCTCTTCACGTGGTGGAATGTCTGCTACTTAAGATGACTGAATGCTTCAATACTGCCTGTTGTTAGCCAAGGAAGGAGATTTGACATGAGCCATCTGCTGGTGCCCAATTGACCCGGGGCTGAATTCCTATCAGCTTGGTTCAGATGGTGGGAGGAGCTTGTTCTAACACTCTATGAATGTTGCTTGGTCATTTTCCCAGTAATTGGAATCTAGATTTCAGTGTGAATTGTTGAAGGATACTCAGCCACTGAGTTCCGGAAGTGTCCTCTGGAGCATTGCTCTCATCTGTTACAGAGGGTCAGCTAGATTTATTACACCGCTGTGCGCAATTGGCTGGTGAGTTTCGCTCACAAAATATCGAGTCAATTCACTTTACAGTATATGCTGTGAAGTGATTTGAGATGTCTCGACGATGTGATGTCAAATGCATGGATTATTATTGTTCAAATGCTCTGGGGAAACTTGCAGGTTAGACCCCACCTGGTGTAATAGATAGAACTGCAGCTTAGAACTTGGGAGTTCACTGGTTTGAATCCTGTGCTGAGTTTGCTGATTAGACAGGGGGAGGCTAAATGAATCATAGAATCGTACAGCACAAAAAGAAGCCATTTGGCCCACCGAGTTTGTGCCGGCTCTTTGAATAGAGCAATTCATGTCAATCCCACTCCCCAGCCCTTTCCCCATAACCCTGCAGACCCGTCCTCCTCAAATACCCGTCCACCGCGTTTTTAAAAGTTGTTATCGAATCGGCCTCCACCACCCTTTCAGGCAATGCAACAGCTCGCTGCGTGNAAAAAATTCTTCTCACCTCCCCTCTGCTTCTTTTAGATACTATTTTGAATCTGTGACCTCGAGTCACCGACACACCCACCAGTGGAAACAGTTTTTCCCTTTCTAACCTATCAAATCCCCTCATGATTTTGAAGTGCTTCACAAGGTATACTGCAACGTGTAGTGACTGTGTGTTTTGTCTGCAAATGTGTAGCCAATTTGCATGTAGCATTGTCCCACAAACAGCCATGAAGTGAATGACCAATTTTGTCTGGGGGAATTGTTGGTCAGGACACTGGAGAAACTCTCTTCTTTTTTTGAATAGCAACGCAGGATTTTTAACATCCACCTGAGCAAACAGACAGGACCTCGATTTAATATCTCATCCAAAGTACACCACCTCCAACAATGCAGCATTCATCCAGCTCTAAATTCTAGTGTCAGCCTAGATTGTGAGTTCAAAGTCCTGATATTGGGCTTGTCTCTTACCAACCCTGTCCTTAGCAATCCCCGGGACAGAGAGGGATTGACAGGGCAGGAAGAGGGGGAGAGAGAGAGGGGGGTTTGGGAGGAAGTGGAGGGAGAGGGGTGACACTCTCCTCTCCTCTCCCCCCCTCTCTCTCTCTCTCTCTAGCCCCTCTCACTCACACACATTCGAGCTCCTTCTCTCACACACACTATCAATTAATCTTCTCACTCCAATTCTCACACTCTCTCTTCCCTCTCACACTCCACCTTTGCCCTCTCCTCTACTCTCTCTCACACATTCTCTCCCACTCTCAATTACTCTGTCAATCTCCAACTCTCTGTTTCTTTTTCTCCCCCTCTCCCATCACATTCACTCCCTCCCCACTCACACGCGCTCTCACACACTCTCTCCCCCACACTCTCTCTCCCCCTCTCCCACACTCCCTCACAGTCTTTCTCTCACTCCCCCTTTCTTACCTCTCTCCCACACACATACTCTCCTCTATCTCCCCCTCTCTCTCACCCTCTCTGTCCTCCAATCTCTCACCCCTCTCTTCCCCTCCCCCCCTTCTCTCCCCCCACCTCATAAAATCATAGAATCATACAGCACAGAAAAAGGCCATTCAGCCCATTGCGTCTGCGCTGGCTCCTAAAAGAGCAATCCAACTCAATCCCACCGGCCCGTTTTATCTCCATAGCCCTGCAATCCTGTCCTCCACAAATACCCATCTACTTCTCTCTTAAAAGTTGTTATTGAATCGGCTTCCACCACCCTTTCAATTAATGCATTCCAGATCCGAACAACTCGCTGGGTGAAACATTTTTTCCTAATCTCCTCTCTGTTTCTTTTAACAACTGTCTTAAATCGGTTTCCTCAGGTTACTGACCCACATGCCAGTGGAAACAGTTTTTCCCGGGTCAACCTATCAAATCCTCTCATTAGCTTGAAAACATCTATTAAATCCCCTCTTAATGTTCTCTGCTCTAGGGAAGATTAATCCTAGTTTCTCTAACCTCTCCTCATAACTAAGGTCCTTCACTCCTGGTACCATCCTGGTAAACCTCCTCTGCACCCTCTCCAATGCCCTAACATCTTTCCTGAAGTGCGGTGCCCGGAACTGAATGCAGTACTCCAACTGAGGCCTAACCAGCATTTTATAAATATTCAACATAACCTCCTGAATTTTGAATTCTATGCCCCTATTTATAAAACCTAGTATCCCGTATGCTTTTTTTACATCTCCCCTTCTCTCTCCCCACTCCTCCCACTCTCTTGCCCCCCCCCCCTCCCCCTCTCTCTCACCCTCTCTCTCTCCACTCCCTCTTTCTCGCCCTTCCCCATCTATCTCCCCTTCTTTCCTCTCTCTCTTCCCCGTTTCTCTTTCCCCTCATCTCTCTTTCCCATTTCTCTGCCCCTTCTCTCTCCCCCAGCTCTCTCTCCCCAACTTTCTCTCTCTCCCCTGCTTTCTCTCTCTCCCCCGTGGGCCACCTGTTGGACAATACTGTTCTGCAGCATTGTCTTCTGCTCACATGCATGTGTAATAGGAGGTTGAGAAAGGGTCAGACTCAGTTGTGATTCTCTGTACTGTTGAGTGGCCTGTCGACTCGCACTGCCAAATTTTAGTGGGTGGGGCGTTGGAAGCCAAACACTCATAATACTACACTCTATATTCCCCGCCCGCACACACCCACCACCCCCCACCCCAAGGAGGAATTCAGCTCTCCTCAATAGGGAGATTGACGGCTGATTCCACATGACACCTTTGACGATGTGCACATCCCATCAATGTCCTACAAATCCAAAGGTGCCAACCGGAAATCCAACCAGAATTTCATTCCATAAGACTCTCGTGGTGGAATCTGCAGCCTGAAAAAAAAGACCTTTGCAGTGTCGATTGGAATAGGAACTGAAAGATTGTCTATGTGTGTGAGTGTTTAGCTGAGGCTCATCGGGAACACTGATCATGTGCAGTGCTGAGAAGGTTTCCAGAGAGAGAGAGAGAAGAGCGAGAGGGGAGGATGGAAGCACTTAGCATGCAGTATTCCATTTGTGCACTGGGAAATGTAGCAGTGGATTTCCCACGGATATTCCAGACCAAGTTATCCTCTGTGGACTTGAGGAATTCCCTTTCAGACCATTAGTAGAAAGACGAGTTTGGTGGGAATCTTTGAGCAGTGCAGGATTTCAACTGCAAAAGTAAGAAACGCTTTCTGTACTCTGTCGTAAAATGCCTGGACATTTAGGAGTGAAATCAGGCAGTACTTTATCACACAAAGGGTAGTGGAAATCTGGAAAACTCCCAAAAAAGCTGTGGATACTGGATCAATTGAAATTTTCAAGACTAACATCAATACATTTTTGTTAGGTAAGGGTATCGAGGGATATGGAGCAAAGGTGGGTAGGTGGTGTTCAGGTACAGATAAGCCACGATCTAATACAATGGGAGAACAGACTCGAGGGGTTGAATGGCCTTCTCCTGTTCACCTACTCATGTTCCTATATCTGGCACAACACTCCGAGCAGTTACACCAGCAAACGTAACCTACTGTTCTCCCCATTGTTGAATCAGTGATGGGATAGAAGAGCTCCATGTGGAGGAGGTGGGGGTCCTTTGCTGAGCCGAGTCACAGCCTTCAGTCAAGGAGAGGGAAAGGTAGAGAATTGCCATAGCAAAATTGCCATAGCTTCGCAAGCGAGAGGACCTGGGTTCGATTCCCAGGCAGGGCGAAACCTTAGGCAAGTTTCCTTACTCCACATGCCTCTATTTGCCTAGTAGTAAGTAGGAACCCGGTTGTTAGTCAATTGGCAGATGGCTTTGCAGGGGTAATAATATCTCCACCCCAAAAAATATTGGTCACTCAATCTACGAATGTTTGTGGGACACTGATGTGCGTAATTGGCTGCCGAGTTTCACCCAAAAAATACACAGACAATCCACTTTACAATATACTCTGTGAAGCGCTTTGAGACATCTCAACAAAGTGATAAAGAGCTATATTGTAGCTCAGTGGTTAGAGCACTCGCCTTGCAAGCGAGAGGCCTGGGTTCTATTCCCAACAGGATGAAATATTGGGCAAACTTCCTTACTCCATGCGCCTTTATTTACTTAGCAGTATGTAGGAACCTGGCTGTTATAGTCGATTGGTGGATCGCTTAATCTACGACTGTTTTGGGACACCTCTGTGCGCAATTGACTGCTGCGCTTCACCCACAAATATACAGTCAATTCACTTTATATTCTGTGAAGCACTTTGAGATGTCTAGAAAACGTGAAAAGCGCTGTACCAAATGCAAGGATTATTATTTTATTATAAGTTGCCACCAGCACTCGAAGATAGCTCCTAACTGGGCGCCCACGTCCAGAGTATTTGGGGTTTCATAAGTGGTGTTGAATTTGCCATCTGTCCCTCTCTCTTTAGGCCGTGTCGACTCTGTGTCACTGCTCCAGTTGATCGGAGACCCTCCTGCCGAACACATTACCGTGCTGTCCGATGCCGACCAAAGACCAATATACAAGATCGGGCCAGGGGTGAACACTGGCCAGCTGGCGATATCCTACCTATCGAGCCCCTTGTTTCGGGATTTCTCTCTCCTGTTCAACATCAAGCCGACGTCCAGGAAGGGTGGTGTACTCTTCGCGGTCACGGACGCCAGCCAGAGGGTCATTTACGTGGGGGTGAAGCTCTCGGAGATCAGCGCTGGAGCACAGAACATCATCTTCTACTACACGGAGCCCGGGTCTCAGTCCTCTTTTCAGGCCGCCACGTTCAAGGTACTGCCCCTGATCAACAAGTGGACCAAGATTGCCCTGAGTGTGGAGGGCGAGAAGGTGGTGTTATACCTGAACTGCGAGGAGCATTCAAGCAAGCAATTCGAAAGGTCTCCTGATGCCTTGGTACTCGATCCGGCCTCTGGGATCTTTGTGGCGATGGCTGGGGGAGCAGATCCTGACAAGTTCCTGGTAAGTTCCAGAGATGTGGGGAGCTAACCTGTGGGTTGGGCTTACCTTGTGTACACACAGAATACTACAGATGTGAACATGTTCATACAGGACATTACAGGTGTGAGCAGGTGCACACAGGGTGTTACAGGTGTGTAACACCCATATGCACACGGGGCACTGCAAATCATTTAACATGATTTACAAAACACAGTCGCTGCACTTTACTTTAAATCCTGTGAAGTGCTTTGTGACATCCTCCCAACGTGCAAAATGCTGTATCAACAACAACAAATTACATGTAACAACAACAACAAATTACATGTGTACATCGCCTTTGACGTTAGGAGTACGTCCCAAGGTGCTGGACAGTCGGGGATTTGAAGTAACGTCCACTTGAACAGGCAGTAAGGCCTCGGTCTAACGTCCCACCTGGAGGGCCCCACCTGTGACAATCCCAGCGCTGCACTGGAGCCTAGATTGTGAGCTCAAAGTCTTAATGGCAGCAAGTTTCTTCACTCAAGGCAGACGTGGTTTAAAAGCTGAGATATTGTATTTGCTGCGATCTGTAACTCTTTCTCTCTCATGGGCGAATGGCCACAATAATTCTTTTGCTAATATTAAGGCCCAGAATGCTGGTTCCTAGGGTCTGCAGGACGGGTCCTTGACTGGAGCAGGGAATGTGACCGGCGGGGAACGCCAGGATTCCTGATGACAGAAGTGCTATTCATTCAGCCCAGTGACCTGCCAGCGTTGGGCTCTAAGAGTCACAGTCTTGCCCCAGTGCTACACTGTGTAGGAGTCACAGCCTTATTGACTGCGGCCCCGAGACAAAGGTGGGATTCTAATCCGAGCATTGCTCTTCCCACCATTATTCAGCACTTGGGCTTCCACTGTGCCGCACTCAGGCTGTGCTGTCATCCTCCTACATTTTTGGCACCATCTGTGGGACAAAGGTTTTCCCTGCATGTGTCTGAGACTGAGGGGCCTTCAGGCTTTCTTTCACTCACTCCTGTCCACAAGATACCATGGTGACAGAGGGACAGTCAGGGACAGGCTCCCCCACGTCAGAGCTCTGGTCTGGACTGGGGAAGGACTGTCGTGTGTCAGAGCTTTGGATGCTATCTCCTAGCCGGAGCCTGATGTAGATGCTCTTTCACTGTTGCAGGGTATCATGGCAGACCTGATGTTCATAAGTAATCCATGGGCAGCAGAGCGTTATTGTGAGGAAGAGGAAGAAGGAGATGACTGGGAGGTGAGTATGCGAGGGCCTTTGCTCCAGTTGCCCCCTCAGGGTCCGAGTGAATAGTGGCCCCCACATTGCCCCACTCAGGGGTTAGCATTGCCACCTCCGAGATGCAAGAAAATGGCCAACAACTCTCGAGCCAGTCTCTGCCTTCACGTACCCTAACACCTCCTCTCAGGACTTTCTGACTTATTTCCCTGAGTACTCCAGTACATTAAACCAGGGTGGGGTCAACCTTCTGGCTACTGAGGGTCAGAGGCTGCATTTGAGAAAAGTCTGTGTGCCACATAAGCAATATATTTGGCCAGTCCTGGTTATCATCTCCTGACTGGCCAGCCCTGGTGACCATCTCCTGACTGGCCAGCCCTGGTGAGCATCTCCTGACTGGCCAGCCCTGGTGACCATCTCCTGACTGGCCAGCCCTGGTGAGCATCTCCTGACTGGCCAGCCCTGGTGACCATCTCCTGACTGGCCAGCCCTGGTGACCATCTCCTGACTGGCCAGCCCTGGTGACCATCTCCTGACTGGCCAGCCCTGGTGAGCATCTCCTGACTGGCCAGCCCTGGTGACCATCTCCTGACTGGCCAGCCCTGGTGACCATCTCCTGACTGGCCAGCCCTGGTGACCATCTCCTGACTGGCCAGCCCTGGTGACCATCTCCTGACTGGCCAGCCCTGGTGACCATCTCCTGATTGGCCAGTCCCGTTACCGGGCAGAGCCTTAGCACCTAGTGACCATCTCCTGATTGGCCAGTCCCGTTACCGGGCAGAGCCTTAGCACCTAGTGACCATCTCCTGATTGGCCAGTCCCGTTACCGGCCAGAGCCTTAGCACCTAGTGACCATCTCCTGATTGGCCAGTCCCGTTACCGGCCAGAGCCTGAGCCCTTAGTGACAGTCTCCCGATTGGCTCAGGGCCTGCGCGTTACCTGCATTTGTTCATCAGACAAAGAAGTTGGGAATGATTCTCGGACCGGATTAAATCATCCTCCGGGCCGGATGCAACCCCTGGGCTGTCAGTTGGACCACGCTGCGATAAACCAAAGGACCTTTAATTTAATATGCAGTTTGAATAGAAAGAAATTGCATCTCTTCAAACTGCACATTAGACCAAAGGAACGTCACAGTGTTTGAATGGATACATATTGCACAAATCGTCAGCACTACAATTTTTGAATGAACGCGCTAAGTAAATCCACTCATTCGAATGAAATTGCGAATTGTGACATTAACAGGTGATTTGCTCAAAAAAAGGCACGTTACCGTTTTTTTACCGACAAGGCAGTTAAAAAAATACAGCCAGGCTGGTTAGAAATCCGGCAGGTGGCAATCCTATCAGGGTGTAGAGAGGAAGTGACCTTGGCGGTGGGTATGTCATGGTCCGAGGTGCTGCTGGTGCTCTGGAGGTATTCCCAGAGCTCCGAGCGCCAGTGGGAGATCTTGGAGGGTCTGAGACAAAGCTTGTGCTTTGTGCTTAATCTGGAACCAGAGGGCTGGGATTTTTCCCACTCAGCTCCTATTAATCTGGCAAATCAGATCCCTAACACGTAGAGTGGTCCTGGCTGATAAGCAGCAGGACGATTGACAGACCGTAGCCACAATGGCGAACTATGCAGTTTTAGCTGATTAAACTCCCAACAGTGCCCCAACACACACTCTGGGGTCCCCAAGCTTTGGCTCTTGCCACCCTGCAATACTCCCCGGAACTAGGCAAGTCGGGTGCATCTCTCCAGGGAGAGATTGTGCATTCTATACCAGACACAGGAAAATTTCCATATGTAGGTGAATTCTGAGTAGTTTGGTTTGGAGACTCTTAAGCATGGTGATGGGTTTGTGGGTGTGTCAGACAGCCAGCTGGTCACAAAAAGTGTCTTCCTGTACTTTGTAATGGTAGCACTGAGGAATGAGCTTCAGAGAGCCCCACGTATTGGTCAGACACTACGCAAAGGCACCTCAGAAACTGCCTTGCGCTCCAATCTCCCCTGCAAAGGGCTGAAATGGGAAGATAATTAAATTATTCAGAGAAGCAGCAGATTGATCACTGTTTGTGTGTATGTGTCTGTCTGTCTATCTTTGTGTGTATGTGCCGGTGTGTGCGTTCTTCTGTCTCGCAGGCCTCTGGAGACTTCGGAAGTGGATCCTCAGAGAGGGGAAAAGCTCCTGGAATAGAAACGGTAAGAGAGTAGGAAATTGAGCGGGTGTCAATAGCTACATTCTGTCCGCTAACTCTGCCTGTCCTGAACCAGTCTGTCAACTTCTGGTATCAGCTGCAGTTGGGGAGAGCGCTTTAATACCTCATGCTCAAACCCCCTCCTTGCCCCACCCCTCCCTCCTCCCCCGCCCTACCCCTTGCCCCTGGCCCTTCCCTACTCCCCCCGCGCCTTCCCTCCTCTCCTCCTCCCGTCCCTCCCATGCCCTCACAGACTAAAACTGACTAGGATTGTCTGGGTTACAGGTGACTGCCCCCTCACAGCACCTCCCTGATCGCTTGCCAATGACACCCCCGCCCATCAACGCTGAGCGGGTCAGACCGGAGGAAAACAGCCGACGAACCCTGGGCTCAGGAACCGAGAGAGGTACGAGCTGGCGGAGTGACTGTGTGAGGGAGGGGAGGATGGCAATTTATATAAAAAGATCAGCTTTCCACTTGATATAATCTCTGTCATGTCAGAAAGTCTCAGCACCTATCAGCAGTGCAAAGCGTTATTTATCGCAACTCAATGGTTTCACTGGCAGCAAGATTATAGCACCATCCAGAGGCACAACTGTGAACTGCACAAGCAAAGCCTCCGATCAATTTGTGAATGAAAAGCCTGTCACAAGAGTTCGCACAAGCACAAGATCATTTTAATGAAGAAGGCCCTTTGGCTCACCTGATCTCATCCTACCAGAATACTCACCCTACTGTCCTCGCAATCAACATTGAGGTGTTTTTCAATGAGTCCCAGTGTCCTGACCTCAACTACTCTGCCTGGTAATCGGTTCCAGTTGTTAATTACCTTCTGGGTAAAGGAAAATGCTCTGGTGACTGTCCTGAAATTGCCCTTCATAATTCTAAACGTATGTCCTCTTGTTCTAACAGGTGTATCCCAAAGTATTCATCTGAGTTTACCTTTTCAATCCGATTTGAAATTGTATACACCTCTATAAGTTCCCCTCTGAGTCGCCGTCTTTCAAGGCTGAAGAACCCTAGATTGTTCTAATTGGTAGCTCTCTTGAATCCAAAGGCTGTATGTTCAAGCCCCACATCAGGACTTTGAATTCATGAAGTCCAGGCTGAAGCTGCAGTGCAGTGCTGGAGATGTGCTGCATTGCAACGTGTTGCTACATTTTGAAGACGTGAAAGGCGATACATCAAATGCAAGAAATATTATTAGTAAATGTCTATGGTCTGGAGTCTAGTCAGTTTCCTCGGCTCCGTGCACTAAAATTATTGATGATCCTGTTCTCAGGAACTCCAGGTGCTGATTTGCTGAAAGGGGAGCGTGGAGAGAAGGGGGAGAAGGGAAGCCACGGCTCTCCTGGTCCAAAAGGTGACAGCAGCTCCATCTACAGCACATCGACCGCTATCAAAGGGGAAAGGGTACGTGCGACTCGGAAAGCCCAGCAACTCCAGCTGTGGCCAGTGTCATCCCATCGTCCCAGACAACTCTGTCACATGGAGCGTACAATAAAATCCTGGACTGAGGAGATCAGACACTGCTGACTGGCAACTGCAGAGACCTAAATGGAACCGATTGAATGAGACAGAATGAGAGAGTGGGGACATTGTTTGTGTGTGAGTGAGAGAGACAGAAATAGAGAGCGAGATGAGCATCCTGTGTGTGTGACAGACAGACAGATAGCCAGACAGAGGAGCCATCGTGTGTTTGTGTGTGACAGAGACACACAGAGGAGCCATTGTGTAAGCTGTAAGCTGATCACCAGCAAATTCCATCTCATCACCTAAACCTTGTGTCTTTTGACCTGTACATTTAAATGCTTTTGGCAGTGTCTGTCGCTGACGTTTATCTTCCTCTCCACAGGGTGAAAAAGGAGAGGCCGGTGAAAAGGTAGCTGCTCTCTGGACTTTTTAATTTTCAGGTGTGGAGGTTGAGGCCACTTTCCCAGGAGACTTATCTCAGCTGTCAATCTCGGTCCAGTGGGCAGCCCCGCCCATGATTATAAACTTCCTAATTAAAACCTTGTGGGTTCAAGCCCTACAATGGGATTTCGACACCCCAATCCAGTGCTGGGGTAAGCGGTTCATTGTAAAAGTACTGTCCCTCAGATGAGACATCAAACCAAGGTCCCGTCCACCTGTTGGACATTAAAGATCCTGTGACGCTTTTCGAAAAGAGAAGGGAGCCCAACAAGAACAACAACTTGCATTTATATAGTTCCCTTCGTGTGGGGTTGCATCTCGGAGCGCTTAACAGTGGTGGAATCTGATGAGGAGGTGGGAGGAGGGAGAAGATGACAAAGCACGGTCAAAGGGAAAGGTCTTCGGGTGTGATCTGAAATAGGGGAAGGTGGAGGGATTGAGGGAGAGAGCAACAGATAAAATCAATCATTCCACTTCATGGCTGTTTGTGGAACATTACTGTGCGTAAATTGGCTCCCGTGATCCACTACAAAATACGATCACTGCGCTTTACAGTAAATCCTGTGAAGCATGTTGAGATTAAAGGTGCCATATCAAATGTAAGGATTCTTCTATTCTTACTCTAACCGTCTTTCTATCTCACGAACCTGTTGCTAGGGATCCGCTGGATTTGGCTACCGTGGACCCAAAGGGGATAAAGGAAACTCCGGGAACCGAGGGGCCCCGGGCTTGCCTGGCCCCCCTGGATCTCCTGCTACTGTGGTACAGCGCGGCGATGGGATAGTGATGGAGCACGTGGCTGCCCACGGTCCGCCTGGACCACCAGGCCCAGCCGGCCCCCCGGGGAATGACGGCGAGCCGGTGAGTAGCAAGTAAAACAAATGACAGCAGCCATCTGTGAGCTCCCAGCCTGCTACAGCCCTTCCATGTGTTTAAGAGGAAACTCAATTCATAAGTGAGGGAGAGAGAAATAGAGGGGTAAAAGCGAAGGGAAATAGAGGGGTAAAAGAGAAGGGAATAGAGAGGTAAATGAGAAGGGAATAGAGGGTAAATTAGAAGGGAATAGAGGGATATAAGAGAAGGGAATAGAGGGATAAAAGGGAAGAGAATAGAGGGTTATAAGAGAAGGGAATCAAGGGGTATAAGAGAAGGGCATTTTAAGGCATGGAATACCACGCCCTGGTGACAAGAGTGTAGATACCAGCACAAACTAGTTATTATTATTAAACTAGTTGGTCTGAATGGCCTGATTCTGCGCTGTGACATTCTGTGTAATTCTATGTAATTCTATGTTAATGTAGTAATAATCTGTAAGGCAGTTTGGTGTAAAACCTTCACTTCACATCACTTAGGGTTTAGAAAGTGCTTCAGCACATTTGTTTTACGTGAAAGACCCTCTGTAGGTCTAGTGTCAGCCTGACTCACTTGCTAAGACTCTCGCCTCCTAGTTAGGCCTCACAACTCATATAGTCTAAACTGACACTCCATTGTGGGGGGGTTGGGTGCTGCATTGTTGGCAATCCCATCCTTCAGATGAGACGTTAAACCAAGATCCCATGGCACTAGTTGAAAAGAGAAAGGAGTTTCTCTCAGTGTCCTGGTCAACAATCTTCCAATAAAACTGGTCATTAACTCAATGTCTCAGTGGGACATTGCTGCATGCAAATTGGCTCCCGCATTTGCCTACTAAATACAATCACTACATTTGACAGCACTTTTAGCTGTCCTTCTGACTTGAAAGGTGCTGTAATAATTTATCATTATCGTTATTATTGTCTCTGAGAGCATTTGTCCGCTCTGGACTGGACTGGATTAGGTTTCTCCTAACCCTAGTGTGTTGTCTCCTCTCTTGCAGGGGGACCCTGGCGAGGATGGGAAAGCGGTGAGTGGATGTGTCCCTTTGTTTCTCACAATTCATGGGCTTCTATCACTAATTACTGAACGGATCGATTTTAAGATCCTCTCACTCGTTTTCAAACCCCTTTATGCCCTCGCACTTCCCTACCTATCCAACCTGCTTACCTAAAGAGATACGGAGACAAGAAGACTGGGAAAGGGATTCGGGGAGGTGTTTATGTGTACTGCCAGCGATGGGATTATAGAGGGATCGTGGAGGGCTGAATAGTCTGCTGTTCCTAAATGCTAAACACTCCCCCTTCTTCCCAAGCACCACAGGCTGAGACTACACTGCCTTCCCAACAACCAACAACTTCTCCCCTTGATTTCTTCACCCTCCACTCCTCCCTCGGACTGCCATCTTCACAAAAAAAGAGTTACATGGGCAAAAAACAGCAACACCATTATGGGTGTGATGCTAACTCCAGTGGAGTCTTGTGAGGAGTCGCATGCTCAGTCTGTAGGATCTGTTGGTTTGTGTGGTTTTACAGCAGGTGTTCGTTCATATTTGAAAGTCCTTTGATAGTATTTGTAGCCTGCATCACAGACTCCTCGTGCACCCTGATGTGCTTTATCTTTGCTTCCTTGCCCAGGGTGAGGTTGGGCCTCAAGGGTTCCCCGGAACTGCTGGTGACCAAGGACCCAGGGGTGAGAAGGTAAGTGAGCAGTATTTTGGTGAGTTACATTTGATGGAGACTCAAGTGTCAATTTTGCATAAATTTTGAGGGAATCGATGTTTGACAACTGAGGAATGAAAGGAAGTGAGTGACTAGCACAAGGCGAGGAGAACAAAGTGTGGAAGGTGGAGTTGGTGTGTGGGGGAGGCTTTAATCTGGGCTTCACTATTCCCTGTCTGTGTAACTGGGAGTAACTGTGTGCAGTAGGCATGGTGAGCCTCTCTGATGTCTGGATGCGGAGAATTTCGGATCAGCAAACACTCGGCTCAGACTGAACCCTTCTCGCCTTTCCCGCAGGGTGACCGAGGTGAGGGGGTGCCAGGACCAAGAGGGCCCCCCGGCCCCCCCGGACCACCAGCCATGGATGGCAAGACAGAAAAGCTGGTGGGTGACTCTTCCGGCACCATCACGGAGCTCAATTCCCACAGTGTCACAGTGTCGGTGTCTCTCCTCACCCTCTCACCCTCTCTCTCTCTCTCTCTATCTCCAGACATTTCTTGATATGGAAGGTTCTGGATTTGAAGGCGATCTACAGCACTTCAGGGTAAGAGTCACAGCAGTAAAATCAGTGTATGATTAGAGTGGAAAGTGGGGATGGGGGATGATAATTGTTGGATATTTATATGGACCACAAGAATAGGTGGTTTAGTTACTGCTCGAGTCTGAGGAGCTTGACCTTTGGAACAGGGCAGGTGCACTCACCCTCCCTTGGGGTCGGCCCAACCATTGGCAGTCGGGCCTTCAGCTTTTCTGTCCCCACCATCTGGAACTCCATCCCCGAATCTCTCTGCCTTGCCCAATACCTCGCCTCCTTCAAGACTTTCCTCTTTGACCATGCTTTTGGCCACCCTCCCACCTCCACTCTTCCCTAACCTTCAGCTCTCTTGATCCCAATCTGCTGCTCAGGTGGACACCCCTCATTGTCCAACATCTTGGGACATTGTTCTGACTTGAAAGGAGCTATAAATGTAATTTGTTGTTCTTGTTGTTGGGAGTGGAGGCAATGGCTGGACAGATGCTCCTTGAACTTTCTGATTGAAATCTATTTTCTCCCCTTCCAGGGTATCCCAGGGCTCCCAGGCCCGCCTGGGCCTCCGGGTGTTCCAGGGCTTCCTGGTAAACCTGGAGAGTTTGGTATGAACCAGACTGGAGACCATGCAGCACTGGGCCGGAGAGGGATAGATGGGATACCTGGGATTCCAGGACCTCCGGTAAGTGATGGAATTCAGGAGAATGATCCGATTTCACCTGGTCCAGAAGATATTGATCCAAGTTTGTCTTCCTCTTGCAAGAGCTTTGGTTTCACACTCTGAGATGCTAATCCCCAAGAAGGACTTTCTATAAATAAAGTAGTTTAGTCCGCAATACTTTGGGCCTGCGGTCAGAGCCTGCCCATTGGACTTGTCGGTACATACAAGCTGTCCAGACCACAAGTTCAAATCCCTGGTCTATGTTGAGTGAGCTGATCTTAGCCAGGGCAGTGATTGGGGAGGAGGAGGGGGAACTGTTGTCCTAGGTGTCTCTGAATAGGGAGAGAAGAATTAGCCAGGATTCCCGTTCCTAACTAGTGTTCAGAGATTCCCCCCTGAACCCCCCAGGGGGAGTGTCCGGTCAGGACAGGTTTGAAATGGAAAGTTTTCCTCCCCTTGTGATAAATGGAGCCAATATTCAGAGTCAATGTTCACAACTGAATAATGGCTCCTTGGATGAGGAACGAGAAGATAAACCACTGATCATGAAACATGACCCCCAGATCCCAGCAGAAGGGAATAGGAACACCTCATTTGAGAGGGGATTATGGGAGAGAGGAGATGTGGCATGGAAAATGGAAGTGAAAACTTAGTCCAAGAGAAAAACAAGTTATGTATTGGCCATTTCTGATTCATTGCTGGATCATAAGATTGGTTTGGATGAAGAAGGCCATTTGGCCCATTTGATCTCATCTTATCTTGCTAAGTGGGGAATGTGCAGTAAATCCTGATCTTCTGAGGTGAACATGTTGCCTGCAGCACGCACAGCAAACTTACTGAGGACTGTCCAGGCCAGAGAAGATTCAATTGTCTTTCATTTGTCTCCTCTGAGTTTGGTCCCAACACACACATTGTTGAGCACCATTGAATTGAAGTAAATTGTGTCTCCCTGGTTTTACGGAGGTTCTGGGTGGCAGGGGAAGTGGTGGGGGGAAGGAGGAGAGAGCAGAGAAGCTTGCGTGTTACTGTCACATTACCACATTGTAACACAGGGAGGTACTGTCAAGTGCTCCAAAGACTCAGGACACAGTCACTGCACATGACACATGGCAGGCTTTGCAACATTTTAACATTAGAAAGGCGATATCATATTCAGGGATTCTTGTTATAAAGTGTAATGACTGTAGGCAAACGTGGCACTATTCACACTCTCATTGCATTGACTTTTGATTACAGGGGCCCACTGGTCCACATGGGAGTGATGGCCATCCGGGATTACCGGGTCCTAAGGGAGAGCAGGTACGTGAGCTCGGTTTAATCGTGGGGGGGATTGGGGGGATTCTCTGTCCCGTTGGGTTATTAACAGGATCTTTTCTGTGCTCTCAGGGCGAGGCAGGTGAGCTCGGCCTCCCAGGAGCACTGGGGATGAAGGTAAGATCCATGTTGCCATGGATACTAATGTGACTGGCATTGTTACCGTGGATACACATGTCAGTTTAGTCGTACCTATGATATCTGACCAAATGGCATGGCACAGTTGCCATGGTTACTGGTGGTTGTATGACCACAGTAGTTTTACTGAGGATGCCGATACCGATATGGCAAAGGTCGGTGTTTGAGTATTGCGAAAGTTGAAAAGCCGAACGACGAGACTGTCGCTCGGTATTTGAGAAACATGTCATCAACAGCTTGTTATTGTTTCCTGTTTCCTCACAGGGATCCCCTGGAGCGGAAGGCCCCCTTGGACAGCCTGGCTTGGCGGGGTTGCCAGGACCAATGGGACCCCGAGGCCCGCCTGGACCCCCTGGACCACCATCGACCCATTTCACTGCTGGGTTTGTAAGTAGCCCCACTTTTCAACTTGTGCCCTGATGCCCATAAAACACACAGTCACTAAATTTGACACTATATCCTCTGAAACATTTTGAGGTGTCCTGATGATGTGAAAGGCATCATACCAAATGTAAGAATTATTAGTTACTATTGCTCGGTGCTTTTGGCATCTCTGACAGTATTGTTCTGCATTAATTTTCTCAATCTTATTAAACACTTAAACAAATTCTCTAAGATAACTTCTCCTGGAGACTTTTTGAGGTTGAAGCTCATCTTTAGTTAAGTTTAGCCCAAGTAACTCTGAGCAGTTCTGGGATGTCATGTTATTTCTTTGTAGGATGACATGGAAGGATCTGGAATACCATTCCTGAGTGGAATTCCTGGGGAAAGAGGGATAGAAGGAGTTCAGGTAAATATAAGTTCTGGAGCGTGAGCATCTCTCTGGTCTCTTGTGTCTGACGTTGTGTATAATTAACCAGAGCCCTATGGCAAGCTATGCTGTTTTAGCTGGTTAGACTCCAGCAGTACTCCAAATCACACTCTGGGGTCCCCAAGCCTTGGTTCTTGCCAGCCTACACCTAATACACTTCGGAATTAGGTAAGCAGGGTGCGTCCGTTCAGGGACAGAGTACGCACACAATCCATTTCCAGACACAGGGAAACTTCCATGTGTAGGTGCATACGCATGTGTTTGGTCTGGATACTATTAAGCATGGTGATGTGTCAGACACCTGGCTGACTAAAAAAAGTGTGTACTTATAAGCTGAAGAATGATTTTTCACCTTTCCCCCCATCTTCCTCAGCTCCCCCACCTCCAGCTTAGTGCTCCCAACCAGCTGTGTGAATTGCTTTGAGGTGTGCTCCTGACATGGAAGACTCTATAGAAATGTAAAATGGTTGAACTTTCTCCTTTGCCTCTTTCTTACCTGAAAATGATGGCTTGACAGGCCCCGGCAACCTGGAAGACCAAACCCAAATGGCCGTTCTCCCCACGTGAGCCCAGCTAGTGAATGTCTGCAGTGATGGGCAGCCCTCTCCTGTCCACACACACGTTTGGGTTTCAGCAAGGGGCTTAGAAAGATAAGGCAGAGTAGATAGTGTAGCTGGTTATTTCTTCTCCCCCCAAATCAGTGTGAGCTCAGGGAGTTGCTAACCCACCAGTGCATGCGTGGCTTCTGCTTATTGTTTGGGTTGCTCTGTGTGTGGGTGCAAAGTTCTTCCTCTTGACTCCAGCCTGTGGTTTGCTGTTTTCTGAGCGCACCAGCCAGCTCTGATGTCAGTGTATATGGAAAGCTCCACATCCTGCACAAACTACACACAATTGGCTCCTGTGGCCTCTTAGAGTCACCATAGGAATGTGGCAAGAGTTTAGGACCGGATGTGGACCAGCATGGGCAAATATAGCAGGTCACAAAAAGATATAATTTGTGTGAGTGTGCAACCACCATACTTTCCGGGATTGTCATAATTATTTCCATTTGTTCCCCTGTCACGTTCACTCTGCAGCTAGTCTGTTACAATCTTTGGTGGAGTCAATTCTGACACAAAGAGGCTTGGTTATATTTTCCCTATACATTGACGGAAACTATTGATGGCAAAATAACACTGCCAAGATCCGCCAATGTCATTCTAATTGCTGAGGTCATGCGATCTGTGGAGATCTGACAGAATTGACGCAATGAACTGAAGGGCCTCTTCCTGTCCCTGTTTTCCTATGAGGCTGTGGTTGTAAGACCGTAATCACCTTGCGTGCTTTTGTATGTTGTTTATTATCACACTGAAAGCCTGGTCTATTTTTTAGGGGGTTACGGGGGCACCTGGATTGCCTGGACAACCTGGCATGAAGGTGAGGAATCAGTTGTACAGGAATACGCATGTTTGCTTTACTTTAACAAGGGTCTTCTCTCATTGAGCACTTGCTGTTTAACGGTGAGAGCGCCTCATCTATTCGGTCTATATGTGGAATGAGCAGAAATCAAGCTGGAACTATAAAGTGGCTTAGTTGAGTTGTTTGGTGTTGGGTCAGGTGGCTTCACCCTGGATTGACAGTCATTTGGGCAAAAGAAGCACAAAATGGTCTTCTTTCTGTTGGCCACAAAATTACGTAGACATATCCAATTCACTCCATGGCTGTTAGTCATTCCTGTGTTCCCCTACAAATACAGTTACAGAATATCTGGTGAAGCACTTTGAGGTATCCTCTCAATATGAAAGGCACTATATTTCCTTAATCCACACGCCTGATAAGAATCCCTCAAGAAAAAAAAGTAATAAATTGGTCACTTCAGTCCACGACTGTTTGTGGGACACTGCTGTGCACAATTGGCTGCCGCGTTTCGCCCACAAATATACAGTCAATTCACTTTACAGTGTATTCTATGAACTGCCTTGAGACATCCAGAAGACGTGAAAAGCACTGTATCAAATGCAAGGATTATTATTATATGAAATATAAGGATTATTATTTTATTTAACCCCTCCCTCAGTAGATGGGCCATCGACCCCCCCACCCCCCCGCACACACACACACACCCACACTGACAAACTAATTTCATTGCCACTCATTCAGTAGCAAGTACCCAGCAGGTGCTAAGGTATTCCTTGGCGTGTGATACTGTGGTCTTGCTCTGGTCTCTGTGACCTGAATTTGTGAATATAGCCCAACACTTCAGAGACCTTGAACGCAGAGCCTCCTATAAGACCGCCGGTCATCACTGATCTGTGAGCAAACAATGGAAGAGAGAAAGCCCATATCAGCTGTAGACCTCACCACTCTCCAGTCTGTCCATTTAACAGCACAGCTTCTGTCTTTTCTGAACAGGGTATGCCTGGGATCCAAGGACAACCGGTAAGTTCTGACTACCTGGTCTTGTTTCAGTTTATTTCATTGAACCTGGAGGGAAGCTGAGTGGGAGGGGTGGGGGTTGAGGGGTAGGGGTGGTAGTGGTTTTCTGGGTGGAGGGCGGTGAGGGTTCTGGGTGGGGAGGTTCTGGATGGGGGTGGTTCTGGGTGAGGGGTGGGAGAATTAGTTGGTGAGTTTCAGAGGAAGTTTTACAGGCCAGTTTGATTATAGCCTGAATGATTCAATTTATTTTTATTCTTTTTTCCAGGGGTTGCCTGGACCACCGGGAAGGAATGGGCTGCAAGGATTTATGGGACCTCAGGTGAGAATTGGGTGGTTGTAAGTGTAGGTAGTTTCCCTAAAACCTTGAGGCAGTGCAGCTTGTGAGGGGCCTGAGTCTCAGCCTCCCACTGCATGGGTTTTGCAAAGCTCAGCGACGGTCAGTTTAGTCACAGCCGAGCCGTTGCTTGGATCTCCAGGTCTGAGGTCTCTGAACTCTTTATTCCCACATGCCCACACATCTTGATCCAGACTGGCAGGAATTTTCTTGGGATACTCCCCCTTTAAGAACTTTACTAAAAGTCACCAAGCTAGCCAGTGGTTTAAGGAGAAGGTCCCACTACAAGCATCTTAAGAACAACTAGGAACAGGCAATAAATGCAGTTTGTGTAAATACATCCTGAGATAGACTTAAAAAGGGGCATCCCCAATGGTGTAGTGGACAGAGCAGCAGTGTATGCACTTGGAGCTTGTTGGTTCGAATCCTGGTTCGTGTTGAGTTTACTGGTCTCAACTGCAGCTTTATGTGGGAGATTAAATTGCCCTCAGCTTTCCCAGGATATTAGAAGAAGGAAAACCAGCCAGAGTTCGTGCTCCTGGTCTCTGTGCAGCACTCTCTACTGGTTGTGAACATGTGTGGCAGTCGGGTGGGGAGAGGACAGGATCGGTTGAGTTGGCTGCCAACATTCACTGTCGAGGCAGACATTATTTGTTTAAAAGGGAAACATTGCAGCAATGAATACCTCTGGCTCGCTGGGTCTTGGAGATCAAACCGTCCTGGGAAATGGTGTTACCTGGATCATCCAGGTTTGGCGTTTGGTATGTGAGTTCCAGGTCTGAGCACAGGTGTGTGTGAAGAAGAGATGTCCGTGTATGGTGTCACAGGACAGGAGTGTTAAATCAACGCTACACAAAGTTTAAATTGGCGCAACTTATTCTCTCATTCTAACCCCTGTGTTCTCCTCCCAGGGTCTAAAGGGCGAACATGGAGACACAGGCATGAAGGTAAGGATGAGAATTTTGGCCCAGGCAGGGCTAAATTCCCTCTCAAAAAGAGTAATAAGAATCTGCAATGTATGGTCCCAGGACGCTGCAGACGAGAAACTAGTTACAGAATGACCTGTTTTTAGGCCAGATATAGTGGCTGTGTGCAGGCTCATGCTTCCAGACTCTGCTAATGCCTCACTACTCTCTGGAGTCTGCGGCAGCCTGGGTGATGTTTACTCAATCCACTCTCTCGATCAAACTCACTCTCTCGCATTCTCTTCTCTATTTCTCACTCGCTTTATTTCTTCCTCGCACTCTTACTCTCAGTCACTCACTTTCTCTCCTTCACTCTTTCACTCACTCTCACACACATTCATTTTCACACTCTCCCCTGCCGCTCTCACTCTCAGTTACTGAGAGCCAAGGAGGTTTCTTCCGTTTTATCTCTGCGCATGAAATCATTATCAAACCATTACCACATAGCCTGGAGGAAAATCCGTGTTTCTATGTGGGACGTGTAGTGAAATCTCTAATCCACTCCAGCCGGACATTATTCTGTGAAATGGCCCTAAAGTTGTCAGGTTAATTCCTGCGAGCACTGAATGCTGATCGTACATGTGTCTGTTTCCTTTCAGGGGGAACCAGGCAGGGATGCAGTTGCGATACCTGGCCCGCCAGGACTACCCGGCCCCCCAGGATACATGTACGGAGGTGAAAATGTGAGTACTTCAGGAGCTGTACAACAGGGACAGGAGTGAGCTGCACACGTTGGTAATGGGTTACTCTCAATTAGTCTTCCACGTCACTCCCTGCAAAGTCCTCCAGGCCTGCTCTTCTGCCCATATACCATCCACTGTGAGTGGTCTGCTGCTCACTCCTCACTCCCTGCTTCCTACCATTTCAATCCGTGACTGCTGTGCTCAATTGGCTGCCTCGTTTCATCCGCAAATGCACAGTCAATTCACTTTACAATATATTCTGTGAAGTGCTTTGAGACGTCTCAATGACGTGATAAGGTACTATATCAAATGTAAGGAATATTATTATTATTGGTGACCAAGCCTTCAGTCACTATGTTTGCTATTCTCTGGAACTTTGTTAAAATCTTCAAAATCCTCATTTAAAATTTATCTCGTTCACTGTGACTTTGAACATCAACCTAAAACTCCTCTTTTCCTCTCTGCTCCCTATCCTTGTGAAACACTTTGAGATGCTCCTCCTACGTGAAAGGTACTGTATAAGTGTAGTTTGCTGCTGTACCGGTTACTTACCTATAATGCAGGATGGTGGGAGGTTTATCATGGTGTGTTTTTCACTTGCCAGCAGTGCGGAGGCAGGGGTTGCTGGCCAGGACCGCAGTGGGAAGAGCTGGAGCTCAGATAGAGGGAGGGGGTGCCATGGGTGTTGTGAGTGAGTTAACTTGGCTGCTTCTGGAGTAAGACATTGTCCTAAGATTAGAATTATTTTGAGTTCAGCAGAACACCAGCTACATTGTTAGGGCAGTGTAGAGTGAGCATTCTCTGTATGTAACCTTTGCTGTACCTGGCATAGGATGAGCAGTCGCTGAACAAGCATTGGATAGTTTAAGGGACAACCTGCTCAATACCATTTGTAAGTAGCTGGAACCTTGGCCTATGTTTTAACCTGGATAAAATGATCTTTTGATTTCAGATAATCGGTGGCCATTCAGGCGTGCCAGGGCCAGAGGTGTGTGTAATCCTTCACCTGGTATCGCTTCAGCCTATGATGCTGCACTGGTGCAATGTCCTATCGTGATGCTTTTTCTTTATGCTTTATATTCTCGTGTGGACAGGTTACACTAACCTGTGTACTTTTTACACTGGCTTGTTGGTGATCTGTATTTTGGGTGTAACACTGTCTGGGATCTGTCCTTTTCATGTTTCACTGAGTCCTCGGTTGGTCAGCAGGCCCTGGGCCCTCTATCTCCTGTTAAGGAACCCATGTTATTCACTACAAAGTGCTTTCCAAAATTGCTTACATGTAACATGTGTTGAGCTGTGAGCTCAGCATTAGGATGTGCCTGAGGTTTATAATCACAGTTTCTTTCTCCTTTTCAGGGTCCGAAGGGTATTCCTGGCCAAGCGGGATTCCCAGTAAGAAAGCTTTATTACAGTGTGTGTGAGAGTGTGTGCTGACAATAGGCATCGCCTAGAACACAATGGCAAAGCTCTATAATCTTTTGTCATCCAGTATTTGATCCCTAGGACTGGGTACACCAAGGATCAGTGAGGCCATCACTCCCATCGACACGGGGCTCCATTGGCTCCTCCGAGCACACAGACTTTGGAAGATCTTTCACTTTAAATGACTCAACAACGGCCTTGCTCCACCTGACCTGCAATCCCGACTGGGCCTTCGTCCCCTCTCCCCCCCACCCATTTCCCTCCCAGCTTGGGCTCTCACTCCATCTCATTTGAAATGTTTTCCTATGCGAAAGGAGCTGTATAAGTGTGAATTGTTGAGTGGCACAGTGGGTTTGTGCAGTGTCCTTTTGCCTCTGGATCCTGGGTTCAGCCATTATGGGCATACCTCACTTATCTTGGAGTTTGTGGTGTTTAAACGTTGTTCTTATCTCCATTCTTCCACTAAACATTTTCAATGATTCTCTGCTCCTGCTGTAGGGGCCCAGAGGACCGCAAGGAGAGTCTGGAACCCTAGGGCCTCCAGGACAACCAGGAATGAAGGTGAAAACTTCTGACTAGCACTTGCACAAACTGGCATGGATCAGGCTGACAGGAGCAGGTTGGCAGGAGCAGGTTGGCAGGAGCAGGTTGGCAGGAGCAGGCTGACAGGAGCAGGTTGGCAGGAGCAGGCTGACAGGAGCAGGTTGGCAGGAGCAGGTTGGCAGGAGCAGGTTGGCAGGGGCAGGCATGGAGCAGGCTGGAGAGAAAGGAGAATGACCTCAATTAGTAGTTGTACAGGATTGGAAAGGGGGAAACAACTTCCTTATTCTTACCTAAGGTTTTTTGTTCAGGGTTAATACAAGACATTAGTACTATGTGTGATAGCCTGGCTCAGTTGTAACACTCATCTCTGAGACATAGAAGTTTGTCGATTCAGACTCCACAAGGAAGTTTAAACTGATATAGTCTAGGCTATGTGTCTCTGCTGATACTCTAGTGTGGTGCTGGGGCAGTGCTGCATTGTTGAACATGCCATCCTAGAGATGAGACATTAAGACTGAAAATCAATACAAAGTCACTTCATGGCTGTTTGTGGGCATTGCTGTACAAGTTCACTGACAATTCACCTACAAAACATAGTCACTCTATTTCACAGTATATCCTATGAAGCGCTTTGAAACATCCTCATCATGTGAAAGGAGCTATACTAAGTGTAAGGATTATTAGTTATTATGATAGTGATGGTAGCTAATCCTTCACTGCCACACAGTTGGTGCCTGGCTCTTTACTAGTGTCAGGTATTGCTAACCTGCCTCTAAGTCTCTTTACCACAGTTTTGATAAATTTGTTGACTGAAGTACCACCCAGCTGATATGGGCTTGGCTGTGAATGGGCAGAAAGCCTCCTGACCACTGGTCTCCCTCTTTGTCTTGTAGGGTGATCGAGGGGAGCCTGGCTATATCCTTGGCCCTGATGGAAGCATTCTGAACAGCCCGGGTGTTGGCGGGTTCACAGGGCCAAAGGTGAGTACAGAGACTGAAGAACTGCAAGTGTCAAAACTCATCTCCTGGGGGAGTCACGGTTTGACACACTGTTAGAGGATTGGGTTAGCTTTAGGGTCATGCATGGGAAGCAAAGACACCAAAGTAATCCTGTGTCTGAAATTCCAAAAGAACCTGAGGAACAAAAGCAACCTATTGAAATGGAAGATGAAACAAACGCGGGGAACCCTGGGATCGAGGTCCCATGGGAATGTGTTCCACCGGCCTCTAAGTGTCTCAAAGACACTTTGTCCCCATTCTCTGAAACTCTTCCCCCAAATTCCTTGCATCACACCCACCCTCTTTGCTTTCAAAACCTGTCTCAAAAGCTGCCTCTTTGACCGCGCCTTAACCCCTCCCTCCCCCCTCCACTAAGTCCCAACTTGCTGGGTTTTCCACTCTGTCTCTATTCAGCTCTTTGAGCCTTTGCTCTGTGTATAGGCAGTGTATGAAGATGTTGCAGAGCTGAGTGTGGAGGTGATCTGATCTAGCTCAGAGTTGAGGGCTTGTGGCTTTATCCCACACATGCTGTTGCCAGCAGCCAAGCAACGGAGGTGGTGCAGAGTGGTATGTCTAATGTACGGACATTTCTGTTCAGATGGCCATTATCCACTATTTGAAAAGAGAAAAGAGTTTTTCCTGGTGGCCTGGCCAAAGGTCCTCCATCACACAAATAAAATTGGTCGTTCACTCCATAGCTGATTATGGGACATTGCTATGTGCACAGCAATGTCCAGCAATATGTGCACAGCATTCACCAACAAAATATACGGTCACCGTGCTTTATAGTAAATCTTGGGGTGAGGTATGGCCTCCGATCATACCTCACCCTAGTTGCAGCCGAAACACTCATCCATGTGTTCGTTACCTCCCGACTTCTCAAATGCCCTATTTGCCAGTCTTCCCAGCTCCACCATGCACAGGATCCAACTGATCCAAAACTCCATACTCACCAGCACTAAATTCCGTACCCCATCACACCAGTTCTAGCCAGGGTCCACTAGCTCCCTAATGCCGAACCGATCAATTTCAAGATTTTCACACGTTTTCAAATCCCTTCATACCCTGGCACCTCCCTACCTCTCTGACCTGCTTACTCCCCAACCCACAACCTGCTGCCTCCACTCGACTGGCTCCAGCCTTTGTCCCTCGTGCCCTCCATTCCACCATTGGTGGCCGCACTTTCAGCCATTATGCTCTGAAACTCTGGACTATTCTTCCTCTATCCTTCCACCTTGCCCCTTCCTTCCCCAACTTCAGAAAGTGCCTGAAGACCTTCCTCTTCGACTGTGCCTATGGTCACCTTCCCTCGGCTCGACGTCGTGCTCTGTCACTGTCAAGCACTCTGGGACTCTGTGCTGCAAAGTGGGTTATATAAATGCAATTTGTTGTTGAAATGCTTTTAGAAACGCTCTTGACATGAAAGGCACTGTATCAAATTCTATTATATTCTATTTTGCATCCACCTGAGAGGAGGGCTGTGCTGTATAAGTGCAATTGTAGGGATGCTGTATTCTGTCTCATGAAAAGAGTTTTCTAAAATGAGATCTGTGACTTGTTCTGATGCTTGTGTTTGCTTTAATGTTCTCTCCAGGGTGACGCTGGGATTCCTGGACCCGTGGGGCCATCGGTAAGTAAATGTGACTGAAATACATGTGTGACTTGTCCTGTTCTCCTGACTGCCACCAAGTGGGGTTAAAGGTCTCGGCCACGCTGCTGACACTGCCCTGATCCATCTCCACTCCACTCACTTGATGAAATGCTGCCCTATCCTGAGACACCATGCCACATTCTCTGTCCACACACCACATCCTACACTCTCTGTTGCCATTTGCCTCTCTCAGTGTCCACAAGTGCTGGGGTCACTGTTGGTAACAGGAATCCTGGCTGATGCTCCCTCTCCCTCTATTTTACTGTATTTGCGTTCTCTCCGACCTGCTTTCTCCCCACTCCACCTCCCGCCACCTGTGCTCAGCTGGCTCTGGCTTCCTGTTATACAGATGCAAGTTGTTGTTGTCGCTGTTGTTACCGTTGAAGTTTTAACTCTTATTTCACACGCACCATGTGTGAACTTTGGCCAGTTTTGGTAACATCCTGACCACCTGACGGGCCCCAGGGCCCCCTCAGCCTCAGGAGGCTAATCCCCGCATAGTGGGTGCTGAGTGCCAGGAGGTGCCGAGCCCTGCGTGGTGCTGAGTTCTTCCGTGGCGCTCTGGTCAGTTGGTGCAGATTCAATAGGTTGTCTCTGCCTCTGTTCACAGGGTCCCTTTGGACGTCCTGGTCAAAAAGGTGAAATTGGGTTTCCAGGACGGCCGGTAAGTGAGCGTCAATCTCTGTAACGCTTCTTGGGATTGGGTGTATTCTGCGATTTATGAGACTGTGCATCTTGTGAGATGTTGAAGCAGCCCCTCTGTGGGAGTTAGTCACCATCTAATTCCCTGCATCATGTCCCACCCTGATTTTATACAACCCTGGGGAGTCCTGTAGCACTTGCCTTCCAATCGAGAGACCTGGGTTCAATTCCTGGCAGGGCGAAATGTTGGGCAAGTTTTCTTACTCCATACACCTCTGTTTACCTAGCAGTAAGTAGGAATCCAGTTATTAGTCAAATGGCAGATTGCTTTTCCGGGGGTAATAATTCCTTCAAAAACAAAAATTGGTCACTTCAATCCACAACTGTTTGTGGAAAACTGCTGTGCGCAATTGGCTGCCACGTTTCGCCCACAAAATATACAGTCAATTCACTTCACAGTATATTCTGTGAAGTGCTTTGAGATGTCTCGAAGAAGTGATAAGGCGCTATATCAAAATGCAAGGATTATTCTTTTTATTATTTTATAAAGTAACAGAGGGGAGTTGTACACAAGCATTTACAAGGGGAGAGAGGAGGGCTTCAGTCTGAAAAGGAACCAAGGGTCTGAGGCTGGTGTAAGCCTCTGTCACGTAAGGGAGCTCCGTACATGGAGCAATAGGACAGTGACCCAAGGGACCATTGTCCAACAAATCCCCCAAATAAAGTTTGTCATTCAGTCCATGGTTGCTTGTGGGCCATTGCTAAGTGCAAACACTGGCTGCCGTGATACGGCACTGTATCAAATGCAAGGATTATTATTACAGTATACTGGGACCATTGCCCTTGTTACACTTTCATTCTGAGATTAAACCATTTGTACAGCACCCACCTCTCATTCACTTGCAGTCCTGGGTCGCTTCCCTCTCCCCCCGCCAATTACTTGCAGAAGTATTGACCTATGACACTTGAATCTTATCCAGGTCGGGGCCACAATTTGACTGGCCACTGTATCTGAGTGATAACCTTGGACTTGCTAACCTTTCACTTCAGGGGCTGGGGTTCCATTCCACTGATGTAACAGGGCCTTTACATTAATTCCCGGTGAAGCGCTTTGGGCCATTTTGATGGTATAGGAGCTGTAATCAACGTAAACGTTGTTTATCCCAGTGACGACGGGATTGGTTTTCTGCCTCTTTGTGTTGCCATGAAGTTTAACTTCCATCTCGTTTCCCCACCGCAGGGTCGGACAGGACGGAATGGACTGAAAGGTGAAAAGGGCGATCCGGGAGAGTTCAACGGTGGTTTTGGATTCCGGGTAAGTGCCCTCCCATTTCCAGCCAGACTGCACTGCCTTGTTCTAACTGTCTCGTCTGCACCATATTCATCCTTTTTCTTTCCCTGTGTTTTTTAAACTAGCATATCTCAGGCCCCCCGGGACCTCCAGGGCCTCCTGGACCCCCAGGCCCACCTAGTGTTGGAGTTTTACCCTTTGACAATAACGTAAGTGTGACTGTGAACTTATAAGAACCGATAGGTTTCAATGTGGTTTTGAACCGAGGTGCTGCATTCAGTGCATCTTGTCCTCCCTCCCCTGCCCCAATCCGCACCATTTTAGCTGTTCCCACCTTTCCTCCCCCACCTTGTTACCTTTCACTGTCAGCCTGGCTTAGTCAGTACCGGCTCGTCTCTGGGTCAGAGTGCTGTGGGTTCAAGCCCCACATTGGGCTTTTGAGCTCATAATCCAGACTGACACTTCAATGCAGTTTTTGGGAGGTGTTGCATTATCAGATATATTGTCCTTCAGATGAGAACTTAAATGGGGGTGGAGGGGGGAGGGAGAGCCATCAAAAACCTTGGTCTCAGGCCTGTTGAAGTTTCCCGTGTGTATGTGTGAGTGTGTGCGTGTCTGTATGCTTGCATGTTTGTACGTTTATGTGAGTCTGTGTGGGATGTTGAGCTGGTGATGGGGGAAGGGATGTGGAGCCAGTGACGGTGAGGAGAGGGGGGATATGAAGCCTGGTGGGTGGGTGGCGCGGGGAGATGTGGAGCCGGTGGTGGTGGGGAGCTCCTGCGTTTCCTGTTTTGCTGTAACTGTGTGTCTGACTTCTCCAGGTGTTTGAGACGGGAGCCATGAGGCAAGTGGCAATTCCCGGAGCACCAGGTATGTTTCAGGAAATGGAATTTGAAACTGTGTAATGTGTGCAACTGTGCATGTGTGAGTAAAGGGTTTGTACATTTACATGTTTGTATATCCAGTGGGTGGGGGGGTGTTTTGCATGGGTATATGTGAGTGAGTGACCTGTGTCAGCCTGGGATAGCAGGCCCTCTAGGTATGTACAATTATACAACACCTGTTCAGTGTGTTGGAATATTCTCACTCTCAGTGCTCAGTGTGGTTTGGCCTCTCTCAACCCCAGGCCGGTTGTGGTTTGCTCGTTTTTCTTATTTCCCCCCAAATTCTGAAAAACAAGGAAAAGAGGAGTGGAGGGCGACTAAAACAGAGAAGTCCATGGGAGAGAAAGCGACCAGCAAATGGCTTCTTTTTGTCCATCTGCGACCAGGATTCCCTCTACCTCCTCGTCCTCCTTGACCTCTCTGCTGCCTTCAACACCGTTGACCACTCTATCCTCATCCACCGCCTCTCCTCTTACCTCAACCTTCACGGCTCAGTCCTTGACTGGTTCAGATCATACCTCTCACACCACCTTCACTTCATCTCCACAAACGGTTTCTCCTCTTGTCCGCGCATCATCTTGTGTGGCTCCTCAGAGCTCTATCCTTAGTCCCCTCCTCTTCAATATCTATATGTTACCTCTTATCTATATGCTCCCTCTTATCTATATGCTCCCTCTTCGCTCCCTCCCTTCCCTCCCCTCACCCTGACCATTTCCCCCCTGCTCGGGTCCTGACCCAACTGTCCAGCGCCTTGAGATGTCCTCCTGACGTGAAAGGCGCTCTATAAATGGAATCGTGTTGTTGTATTTTGTTGTAGTGACATCACCCGCAGACATGGGGACCTCTGCTGTGCTGACAGAATGTCTGTCAGACATCAAGTCCTGGATGAGAGCTAGTTTTCTTCAATTGAACATCAAAAAGACCGAGGCCCTCTTGATTGGCTCCTGTCAGCACCTTGTTTGTGCTGTTTCAGATCATCCCGACTACATGTCCATTTGTTCTAATTCATTTCCACTCATTCTTGCTCCTTCCCCCCTTCCCCCACACAGGATCTCAAGGAGAGAGAGGCTATCCAGGCCACAAGGGTGAAAAGGGTGACTTGGGTCAGCCTGGGATAGCAGGCCCTCCAGGTATGTATTGCAGACTGTTTATGTTCCCTGCTATATTAACAGTTGGCCCAAGCCTGGCACTCCAAGCCCAAGCCTGTCGCTAACCCTCCCCCGGCCCTCCCCGCCCAGCCTGGAATTCCCCCTCCCCTCTGGGTTTGGCATTCGCCCTCCCCTTTACCGCCCCCCCCAACCTGACCCTCTACTCTCATTCCCCGGCCTGTCGCTAACCCTCCTCCGGCCTGTCATTAACCCTCCTCCGGCCTGGCCATCCCACCCCCACCAGGCCTGGCTGTCCCCCACGGGTCTGGCCCACCCCCCACTGGCCTGGCCTTCCCGAATGCTCCATTCCCCCTGGCCTGGTGCTCCCCCTTCCCCCCAACCTGGCCCTCCCCTTCAAGCCTCACGTTCCCCCTCCCACCTGCCTCGCGCTCCCCCTCCCGCACAGCTGCTGTCCTTGCATCCCTCATATGCTGGAGCTTTTGAAGACTCGTAACGTAGTGTTTAGAGCACTCACCTCACAAGCGAGATGACCCAGTTTCAATATCTGGGCGGGGTAAAACCTTGGACAGGTTTTCTTACTCCACATGCCTCTGTTTACCCAGCAGTAAGTAAAAACCCAGTTGTTAGTCGATTGGCTTTCGAACAACAACTTGCACATATATAGCGTCTTTCACTCAAGGTTGCATCCCGAGAGCTTGACAGTGGCGAAGCATGATGCCGAGCTAGGGGGAGATGACCATAGGCTTGGTCAGAGGAAGGTCGTCAGGCACGAACTGAAGATGGGGACGGAAGAGGCAAGACGGAGAGATAGAGGAAGAGTGTTCCAGAATTTTGGTGCGTTGTGGCTGAAAGCGCAGCCACTGACCGGAGGGTACAAGGGACATTCACGAGGCCGGAACCAGTCAAGTGGAGGCAGCAGGTAGCGGGTTGAGGAGTAAGCAGGTCGAAGGTGCCAGGCATGAAGGGATTTGAAGACAAGTGTGAGGATCTTGAAATTGATTCCCTGGGGTAATAGTTTCTGCCAGTGCAGGTAGCAAGTGGTCAAGTCTTCTCATATATTCCTTTACACCAGGTCACACTGCTTGCTACCTAAGAATGTGGTTGCTGTGCGGGCAGCAGCTTCTACACTATAAACAAATTCACACGCCCAGGTGTTCACATTGTGTGGACAGCCAACTTTGCATATGAATGGCAACCATTATTTAATGGCTGGAGCCTTGTCTCCATCAAGTACCTGCGTTGGAGCCTGGCCAACGTCTCTTGTGTTTGTTTCAGGTCCCAGCCCTTATGACCTGTACCAGCTCGGCTCCACACTCAGGGTAAGTGTTTCCACCTCCGTGTTGGAAGTTTGCCACCGCTGGCTGGGGGCCAGGTGTGAGCTGCCAGAGAAGTTTACTGATTGACTGCAGTCCACTCATTGTCAGTGTCCTGTGTCTGAGATTAGTCAGTTTGGCAGATGTTGACAGGCTTCAGAGCTGCTGAGAAATGCGGTTTCTAAGCGCTCAATAGCGTGACCATCAGGTGCAGTGTGGAACGGCACGTCGCCGGTGAAGTTAATGGAAGGAAGTGTTAGTCGGGTGCCCAGTTGAAAGACAAGGGCTCACTCCATTCAGCCCTCATATTAATTGGTCTCTAAACTGGGGCCAAAGTGAAAGTCTGGGTCCAGCTGGGCTGGTGATTTCAGTTGGTTATGTTGTAGAAGTGTTGCTTTTGAGCATTGGGTTCATTTTCCGGCTTTTCCTTCCGTAGGCTGAGAAAGGCGATCGAGGTGACTCCGGGCAAAAAGGAGAAAAAGGAGCACCAGGGGAAGTCAACACTAGTCTATTGGGAGCCCAGGGACTCCCTGGACACCTAGGCCGCCCAGGACTTCCAGTAAGATCACTTGTCTTTGTGTTACTTATTGATTGGGACAAACCTACAAACACCAAGGATGCAGTCATTCCTGAATTTCTAGCTTTCTCTCGATTTTTTTTCAAATCACCAGTTTTGCCATATTTTTGGCCAGAATGTTTCTTTGGAGCGAGTGACTGTTGGGCTTTTGTAACATCCTCCCCCACAAAACACACAGAGTGCCCACACCCGGCTCATTCATCCTGTGATCAAGTGCCAGAAATGACTATTGTAATGGACACGGGACAGTGCAGAGAGAAATGGGAGAACGAGTGTCTTCTGGAGGTCCAAGACACAAGAGCAGTAGCACTTCACAGCAAGTGGCCCAAGCCAAGTGTTGTGGGGAGTGATCTCGGGTGGGGTTGTGTGTGTGTGTTGTGTTGTGGGGGTTGAAGGATCTCAAATCTCTCGATGGCCAGTTCCCCTCCCAGACTATCTTATTGCTGGTTATCAGCCCCTTGGTTATCTCCTCTAACAGTGTTCGCTCATTAGGGACCGAAAGGCGACAGCATCGTTGGACCCCCAGGACGACCAGGCAACCCCGGCCCCCCGGGTTATAGTTATCCAGGACCTCCCGGGCCCCCAGGACCTCCCGGACCCCCAGGAACCATCACATCGTCCGGCGGGTCATCTCTTACTAGTTAGTGCTGTTTTCATTCTAGGACCATGATTTATGAAGCAAAGAGATTAGTATTAGTTGGGGTCAGCCTGGCTCAGTTGGGAGCAGTCTATTGTTTCCAAGTTGGTCAGTTGTGGGTTCCAGACTCCACATTGGGGACTTTGAGCTCAACGTTTAGGCTGACACTCCTGTACAGTGCATGGGGGTGCTGATTTTTGTACAGTGTAGTGAGAGAAGGAAAGAGATACAGAGAGACTCAGATAAATAAAAGTCAAAAAGAGAAGCAGAGAAAGTAATAGACACAGAGAGAAAGAAAGTTAAGAGATCCTCAGAGAAAGAGAGGGAGATGCACAATAGAACGTTATAGAGACATAAAGATAGAAAGTTACCAGAAGTACAGAGAGGGAGAGTCAAAGAGAGTAAGGTAGAGTGGGATTACGGACAGTCGGTGTGCAGTTAAACATAATCACTGTATTATATTGACTGAAACGTTAATATGGTATCTGGTTTGCTCCCACACAGGAATCGTGGGACCGGCCGGGCCTCCCGGGCCACCAGGTCCACCGGCTTCATCCTCTGGGGTAAGACTAATAAAATAATAATTTTATTAAGATGAATTAATTAAAATAATAATTCCTCAAGAAAAAAAACAATAATAATAATAATAATCCTTGCATTTGATATAGCGCTTTTCACGTCGGGATGACATCCCAAAGCGCTTCACAGAACACACTGTAAAGTGAATTGACTGTATATTTGTGGGCGAACGCGGCAGCCAATTGCGCACAGCAATGTCCCACAAACAGTCGTAGATTGAAAATGACCAATTTATTATTGTTGTTGGTTTTGGAGGGATTATTATTAGGCTCTGTGTGGAGTAAGGAAACTTGCCCAAGGTTTCGCCCTCTGCCGGGAATTGAACTCAGGTCTCTCACTTGCAAAGCGAGTGCTCTAACCACTGAGCTACAGGACTCCACGTAATAAATAATAATAAAATAATCACTTCAATCCACATCTGTTTGTGGGACACTGCTGTGCGCAATTGGCTGCCGCGTTTCGTCCACAAATATACAGTCAATTCACTTTACAGTATATTCTGTGAAGCGCTTTGAGACGTCTAGAAGGCGTGATAAGGCGCTATATCAAATGCAAGGATTATTATTATATTATTATATTATATAAGACAGTGCTCTGGGCGTCCGTGACTGCTCGCAGCGGATGTTCTCGGCTGCCTACACCCACCCGGAGAAGCGATAGATGAAATTCCAATTTGAAACATCTGCTACACATGTTGCTTCTGAGTAGAGTTGTGTGAGGGCCTAATGTCCAATGACAGAGCATTTGGTTACCATACCCAGGCTTATGAGCCATGTGAACTTGCTTTCCTTCGCTGAGCGCAATTCTCAAGATGGCCACTAGATGTTTTCTAATACAGGTTAATAGTTCACAGTTCATTATAATACCACACTGTGCCAATCATTCTGCCCCCAAACCTAAATCTCCCGCCCTCTCTGCCCTTCTCTATTTCTACACTAATAGGCTGCTCTGTAAGCTCACTTGCTGCATTATGTGACTGGCTCCTAGTCATGTCCAAAACCAGATATTCCTCTGCCAGCTCTACTCTTACACCTCCGGTAAAGCAAGCCGTGGAGAGGCGTGGGGACATGTGGTGTCAACACGGCATCTCCTGAATGATCGCAGTGGAGCCCGTTTTAGCCCAATGATTGGGGGAGGGTCCTAACATCGCAGACTACAATGGGGCAGGAAGGCCAGTTACATGAGTGGTCACAGCGGCCCCATTGGCAAGCATTGTGCTTCAGATCACTATGTTATGCTTCATAATGTGTCGCCATCCAAACCCCAATCGTGCTATAAGTGAACAAAGTGAGTTCTATCCGGGCTCTGCTTTACTTTGAGTCTAAAATTAATTTAAAAGCGAAGAATCCCATCATCGTCTAATGTTCAGTGTTTTCCGTGTTCAGGTTGTTCCTGATCTCTAAAGTCTCCTCCAATGTGCTCCAGGTTACAGTGGTTCGCACCTACCAGATGATGCTGAGCCTAACGCGGAGTCTGCAAGAAGGCTCTCTGGTCTATGTGCTGGAACGGGGGGAGCTGTACCTCCGAGTACGGGAGGGATGGCGACAGGTTAACGTGAGTGTGAACCAGGCCTTTGTTTTCATGGGGTGGGGGTCTGGGCTCGTGGTTGGTGATAGCTCAAGGCCAGCGCAGGCAACAACAACAACAACAAGATTCCATTTATAGAGCGCCTTTCACGTCGGGTGGGACGTCCCTCCGAGGGCCCGAGCAGCGGGTAAATGGTCAGGGTGAGGGGAGGGAAGGGAGGGAGCGAGGAGGGGGTAGAGAGTCGAGAGGGGAGCTGAAGGCATGGTCAAAGAGAAAGGTCTTGAGACCGGCCTTGAAGGAGGAAAGGGAGGAGGCGGCGAAGGCACTGGGGGATGGAGTTCCAGAGCCTAGGGGCTGAGAGGCTGAAGGTCCGGCCACCGATGGTAGGGTGGTTGGGGCGGGGGATGTGGAGCAGACCGGAGCCAGAGGAATGGAGGGTACGGGCAGGTATGTAGTCGGAGAGGTAGGAGGGAGCAAGGCCGTGAATGGCCTTGTAGGTGAGGATGAGGATCTTGAATTCGATCCTCTGGGGGATGGGGAGCCAGTGGAGGCGAGCGAGGGTGGGAGTGATGTGGTCGCGAAGCCTGGTGCGGGACAGTACATGAGCTGCAGAGTTCTGAATGACCTGCAGTGTGGAGGGAGGTGGCGGGAAGGCCGGCGAGGAGAGAGTTCCCATAGTCCAGCCTTGAAGTGATAAAGCCGTGGACCAGAGTTTCAGCAGCATGAGGGGTGAGGTAGTGCCGTAGTCTGGCGATGTTTCGGAGGTGATGGAAGGCGGTGCCAGTTGTGGTGCGGATATGAGGGAGAAAGGACAGCTCAGGGTCGAACAGAACACCGAGGTTCCTGACTGGCACTGGGCGCAGGGAGAACAGCTTGATTCTCCTCTATTTGTTCACAGCTCGGACAATACATTCCATACCCGGGAGGGAATGTGCTTGTGAGTTTCCACTTTAATTTATTTTCCTGCTCTGTGTCTGTTGTTTCTTTGTGAAAGAGAAGATGGGAGTGTGATGGTGGTGAGTGAGCTCTCTGTTTTTAGATGCACGCGCGTGTGACTGTAGTGGGCGAGGTTTCGGTGTGCAGGGCACAAGGTCCTTGTGGTGTTTCGGACACGTGTGTGTTGGTGGTGAGCAAAGTTTTGTGGTTTGCTGTTTACGTGGCTTGTGTGTTTTCAGGAGAACAAAGTGGAGGCGGTGGGTTCACCGCCGGTGGTGCAGTATGGCACACACAGCGAGTCCTCAACCCGAGGCGGGCAGGCGCGTATCCCCCCACCTGACCGGCGCCTACCCCCACCTGAGCAGCCAGAGCACAAGCCCCCGCACAGCCATCCTCCCCGGCAGCCAGAGCAACCCCACCACAACCAGCACATTCCGCAGAGACAGCCAACACACCCCACCACAGGCCACCAACAGCCACCCAACAAACCCTCGACCGGCTCCCGGCTCCCACACACAGGACCCATGGTAAGCATCAACGTGGTCATTCAGACACCATATTACTACTGTGAGGCCTCAGTACTCTCACCTCCTGATCAGACAAGCAGCAGGAAAACTTGCCAGACAACGCTCTCGCTGGCAAGCTGTGTGGTTTTAGCTGGTTAGACTCTAGCAGTTACCCCAATGCACCCTCTGGGGTCCCCAAGCCTTGGCTTTTGCCAATCTACGACTAATACTTTCTGGAATTAGGTAAGCAGGATGTGTTCATCCAGGGAGAGGGAACACACTCCACTCCAACAAGCTATCTCTGGGATTTCCATATGTAAGTGGGATGCATGGAATTCTCAGCTTGGTTTGGATGCTCTTACCATGGTGATGGATTTTCCCCGTGTGTCAGACATCCGGCTGACCCAAAAAATCCAGGTCAGAAGATTGTTGTGATGTCTTAATATTGTAGGGTGGTCTGTAGGGACTTTGAGCTCACAGTCTAGACTGACGCTCCAGTTCAGTGCTGGGGATGCTCTGCATTATCAGAGATGTCGACCCTTGGATGCGATAAACCAAAGTCCCGTCTGCCTGTTCAGATGGATGTTAAATTCCATGGCCACTATTTGAAAAGAGAAGACAGTGTCCTGACCAGCAACACCCCAAATACAATTGGTTATTTACTCCATGGCTGTTTGTGGGAGGTCGCTGTGTGTAAAATGACAGCCATGTTCAGAGAGTCACTACATGTGACAGTAGTTGTGGTGTTAGACTTGGAATCCAAGTTGTTTCTCACTCCCTGAAATAAAACTTTTGTTTTGTAACCTGAGTCACCTACTCCCCCCCACCCACCCTCCCAAAACCACCCCAGCAGATTTTCTGTGATGTGTGCAGCAGTAACAACAAAATGCATTGATACAGCGGCTTTCACATTGGGAGGACGTCCCAAGGCGCTGGACAGTGAAGGATGTGCACCCACGCTGGGTGTTGGAGTTGGGGTTGTTTGCAGTCCTGACGTTCTACTCTTTCCTCAGCTGCATCTCATGGCGTTGAACACTCCTCTGGGTGGTGACATGCGGGGGATCCGTGGTGTGGATTTCCAGTGTTTTCAGCAGGCTCGGGCCGTGGGGCTGACCGGCACCTTCAGAGCTTTCCTCTCCTCTAAGCTGCAGGACCTGTACAGTGTGGTGAGGCGTGCCGACAGAGGTTCCCTGTCCATCGTCAACCTCAAGGTCAGAGCCCCTCTCACGCACTATTTATCAGTTTAGTTTGTGTCGTTTCTTACCGGATTGTGTAAATTTATCAAATCCTTCGCAACGTTCAGTGTTGTAGAAAATTGCCGTTTGCACAAAAATAGTTGCCCATTTTGGATTCAGGGATCGGTTGTCGGACGTGGTGTTGGGAATCGGGAGGACCTGTCAGTGAAGATTCATTACTGTCAGCACAATACAGGCTTGACAACCCTTCCCCATCCACTCTCAACCACGCTCTCCGTCACGGCTCATTTAGCAAATCCACTGTCTGGAGCGGAGAAAGGGTTGTAGAGCTCTGGGAAGAGTTAGCTCTCACCACAGTTATTCTCAGCAACCCTAGACTGGAGACAGAGCAAAAGTCTCAGCCGACTCTCCATTACTCTGCAGTGGCCCTGGAGAGGCAAGTGTGGGTGTGAACGCGAGAAGGCCAGCAACTGGGACAACACCTTATGATTTAAGAGCCCGAGAGCTGGCATTTTCCGTGGTTACACCCGGGTCAGGTGCCAGAGGGCAGAGGCGTGGAACTGTCCCCTGCCTGAGTCTGTGTCAGGGGCAGGAGAGAGAAAGAGAGAGGGGTGTACGGAGTGGAAGGAAATCAAAAGGTTCATGGATAATTGAGAGGTGTGGCTGCTCTTTCCTCTCAGGGTGAGGTGCTGTTCGATAACTGGAACTCCCTCTTCTCTGGATCCCATGCTCATTTCAAGTCCAACGTGCCCATCTATTCCTTCGACGGGCGGGATGTGCTGCGAAACCAAGCCTGGTATGTGAATCCACATCGCAACACGCCTAGTTCTTGCGCACAATAACACATTTAATCCCCACCCAGCTCCCACTCAACCCCAAAAAATACACAGTAGCCGCGTTTGTTCCTAGCAGAGAGCCCTTCAAAATGCTTGAAGTTGTCGGTTGTAAGTTGATGTCCATGTGTCAGATATGCGGCTGATCAAAAGCAAAATGTTGTGCAGAGGCGGGCACATGCTGTCCTTCGGATTAGATGTTAAACTGAGGTCCCATCAGCTTGGGGGGGTTGTTAACCACCTCATGCCACTGTTCAAAAAGAGAAGGGAGTTTTATATTTTTATATATCTTATATAATCATCTAAAATGTTCTATAGATATAAAATACAGTGTCGTATAATCGCTTAAATTGTAAATGCACCTGAGTCTCATTCAGTTTCCTATCAAAACCACTTAGATATCTTTGTGCTACTCGTATTAATCACCTCCTAACTTATAACGTCGCTCCATTACTCCCGCACTTACCGACTACATTGAATGGGAAGGAATGACATCCTGACCTGTCGCCGCATGCACACTTACTGGTCGGCTGCATTGAATCGCGGGAAATGTAGTCTTGATCCATTGCCACATGTACAGAGGAACTTCATTTGTGTAAGTCAGGGCGAGGCCATTGCTAGCCAGTAAATGTGCATGTGGTGAACGGTCAAGACAAATTGAATCGTGGGAAATGTAACCTTGGCCTCTCAACACATGCACGCTTACCGGCCCCATTGAAGTACACATACGCAGTGCAGATTATTGACGAAATTGGATTACACGATTTATATGGTTTGCCTGCAACCCAGACTTCGAGAAAGTCATATTAAATCCTGACTGATACGACTTATGTGAGTTTTATTGTAATAACAATATGAAGTGTAAAATCATATAAAGACTCACATGGACTATGAATACCAGCAGTGATTAGTTAGGCTGAATGGCCTATTTCTGCGGTACAATCTTTGTAAATATAAAATTCTCTTTTTCTCCTGTTTTTGTGGTGACCATCTCAGGCCTGAGAAGATGGTGTGGCACGGCTCTGACGCCAAGGGTCACCGCCTGTCCACCAATTACTGTGAGGCCTGGAGAGCCGCGGATAGGGCCGTCACGGGCATGGCATCCGCACTCGGCAGCCACAAGCTCCTGGAGCAGCGTCCGCTGGCCTGCAGCAGCTCCTTCATTGTCCTCTGCATCGAAAACAGCTACCTGCCACACGCCCGCAAATAAGTCCCCATTCTATCTCTAACAAAACCCCCCTTCCCTCTCCTTCCCTCCCTTCACTTCCCCCCTCCCTCCTTCCCTCCCCCCTCCTTTCACTCCTCCCCACCCAAAACTGCCAGGCATTGCTGACAGGAACACCGCCCCCCCGCCCCCCACCCAAAAAAAAACTCTGTACAGTTGTAATTTTTTTAAGAAAAAAAATCATTTAAAATAAAAACCGAGAGGGAGAAGGGGAAACAAGCCAAAGAGATTGGTTCAAATCATATCAAAAAGAAAAGCGCTTTCGAGGTGGGGGGACATGGGACAGGGGAGGAGTAAAATTCCCACTGGGAGGTATCCTTTTATCTCCCCGGGATTTCAGGACAGCCCGGAGTAATGCAGATCTCTCCATCGTGTACATGTGACAATTAATTTTTGTATATGGAATGTTGTGTGTGCAAATGTATTTTTTTTTAATTTTTACTCCTAAACATTAACCATTATCAGATTCCTGTGTGTTTGTATGTCTCCCTCTCTCCCTCCCTCTTTCTCTCTCACTCTCCTGCCTGCTCAGTAAATCAGTGTTTGCTTATGTAGGTTTGTATAAAAAGTTGGGGGCGTTTATGGACACTGATGGACTCTGTTATAACGCGGTGGGTTTAGGGGCCTGTTGACCTCCAAACCCACCGCAGTATATCAGGGGCAAATTGAAAATGTCCACCAGTCAATTTCAGGATCAGAATGTCACCGAGCCAATGAGAGAGTATCCAGTGGTTATTACTCAGCCAACCTCTCTACCCCTGCACATCAGGACCTACTGGGGGTGACGGTGCCAACCGTCCAACCCGGCCCGGTCCTCCCCCCACTCTGTTATTGTTAAATGTCTCTCTCTCACTGTTGAAGCAGGTGTCGGCTCAGCTATTAGATGTGCATCTCTTACACTTGTCTATTTGGACTGAAGGTGGTGAGAGAACGGGTGAGGAGGCATTGTCGTCCTGTCCTGTAGAGATATAGATGTAGATGCTGGAGGAGCAAAGATGTGCCCTCCTCTCCATCCCCCCTACCGTCCCCTTCCCTCCTATCCAAATATCCCTTTGCCTCCACCATATTGCTCCTTCATCCCTCTCCCACCTCCACCCCCCACGCCCCTCCGTGTATGCGTGTCCACATATGTGTGTTGGGGCACGTGTATGTATGCGCATGTGTTTGTGTGGGGGTGCGTGAGAGCTATACACAAGGGGAATTGAGGGAAAGCCTCTAAATATAAGGTTTTTTGCTTGACATTTGAGCCAAAGCCAAACCTTACTAATGTTTCCGGTGATCAAGTATCAGGCTATAGTCAGACCAAAGCTCCACGGTTGTTGGTAGAATGAGAGAGGGAGAGTGACAGTGGGCGAGCCATTAATTCAGTTCAACACCCTTCCCCCCACCCTCCCAAGATGAACTGGGTTCAGGATGTGAGCAGTCCGCCCTCCCGATCTGCACTGAACATAATTTCTCTGCGACTCTGCACTGTATGTGTTAAAGCCGTCTTTCCCCCACAGTGAGAGTGCGAGGAGCGTGAGAAGCACCAGGACTGTAGCTTTCTTTAACCTTGATGTGCTGACGACACTTCTCACAAAGTACTGAATAAAGGTCATATGTCTTTATAAGTCTCGGCTCTTTTAGTTATTTATGGTTCTGACTCTTTGTTGCTGACCAGAAGCCTGTTCTGGCCTATGGTTGCCAATCATCCTTTGGTGCTTTGTGCAATTGTTGATCATCTAGAAGACGTAAAAAGCACTATATCAAATTCAAGGATGATTATTATTCTTGGTGTGAGCAGAGACAGTAATAGCAGTAATGTGTGAGTGAGTATGTTGTGGAGTGGAGGAAATGCTATCCTCACTTTATGTCCACACAAGGGCCCAGGCTCGCTGACTGGCAGACACGAGCCGGGACTGTGCCTGATTTTGTCCCCTGCCCACACCCTCCTCCCAGTCCAGGGACACTGAGGCCAATTGAAGCGTCTCAACTGTTGCTCTGAAGTTATTGGGATCCAGGATCTAACCTGATAATCCTGTCCCGTTCACAATGTGCAATGCTTTTTGTTTCCCAGGTAGTACGTCCAGGTTGCAGGGTACACGTGAACAATATCCCTGCAACTAAAATGCTTAAAACCAAATTTCACAAGATCTTTGAAAAACAAGTACTAGTTGCCAAGAAAACCATTCATTCTTTTATTGTTTAATTTTATTTATTGCTTTTAAAGTCTATATATGTACAGATCTTTATATCTAAATTTATACTCTTATAATCCAACAATCCCCCGAATAAAATTAACCATTCGTCTCCTGACTATTTGTAGAGCATTGCTGTCAATTTTACCTGCAACAAATAGTCACTACATTCGAGGGTAATTACTTGTGAAGCTCTGCATGATACTTTGATGTAATAAATATGCAATAAAAACAGCAGTTTGTTCCTTTACCTGCTAGTGGCACTGTAGCCCTGTTATTTGTAACTCTTCACTGTATTACTATTCAAATGGTGTTTGGTCCCTCTGAAAATGAACTATGGTTCAACTCAAGATCACGAGAGGTTTGGATGAAGAAGGCACTTTAGGCCATCTGATCTCATCCCTCCAGAATATCCACCCTACTGCCCTCCCATTACAATGTTGAGCTGTTTTTTTAAATAAGTCCAATGTCCTTGTCTAAACCACCGTTGCTGCCACCTGTTCCAGTCATCAGTTACTTTCTGAGAAAGGAAACCTTCCGGGTATCTGTCCTGAAATTACCTTTTGCCACTCTAAACCTAGGTCTTCTTGCTCTACTGCATCCTAAGTGCTGTTCTGGTTCACTTTATCAATTTAATATCTTATACACCTCCAGCAGGTCCCTCTGAGACTTCTCTTTTCAAGCCTGAAAGATCCAGCTTGTCTAATTGTTTGACTCCATCGTTGTTCCAGTTGATGTCAGGCTAATAGCTGATACATTCTGATGGTTCCATCACCTTCTGAAACAAACATTATTTGTTTCCAGTCTGTTGGAACGTCACCAATGTTGATTGACTCCCTCATATTGTCGGTGAGTGCCACACAAATCCTTGTCTCTCAGTCTCCAAAAGGATCGATTTTAGGATTCTCACCCTCAAATACAAATCCCTTTGTGCTCTAGCACCTCCCTACCTCTCTGCTCTTCTGGTACCCCAGTCTCCTCCCCTTTGCACAGCGACACAAATCTGCTGCACATCCCCCGACCCCTCCACTCCACCTTTGGTGTCCGTGCCTTCAGCCACTACACCTCTAAACACTGAAATTCTCTTCCACAATCCCTCCAACTCACCCCCACTTTATCCACTTTTAATTCCCACCTTAAGACCTACCTCTTCAGTAGTCTTTTCCCCTTTTCCCCTTCTCCCGATGACCAACACCACCATGTGCTGAGATGCCATCCTGGCACAATATAAGTCTAGGAAATTCTTTATAATTCAACCTTGGCTTAACTTGTCACAACCACTTATGATATCAGGCTGTCAATATCCCAGCTGTATTCATTTATGTATGTAACTCGCCGTTTCATCATTGAGTCCCTTTCCCTGGGAGTGCCGACCTATCAGGAGTTTAATGGAATTGTTGAGTTGTTGTCATTCTGTCTTTCTCTGTGAATCTGGTGTTTGTTTGTGTGCAATGTGTGTGTGTATCTCTGTATCTCTGTGCTGTGTCTGTGTATCTGATATGTGTGTGTGTTTGATTATGTTGTGTCCTTGCTTGCCAAGGATCAGTTGTTGAACTGGACATACAGTATACATATTTACACTTCTCAGGCATACAGGATACAACATGTGTGTGTCAATTCTTACAAGACTCATCCTGTTCTGGGCCCTTGCAGTGCTGGCTTCAACCTTTCACGCAAATAGATTCCAGCAGAACCAGTTCAGCCATCCCAGGGTGTCGCACTCATTTCATATTTTTATTAAAGTTGTGCAGCCTGTCACTGTCCTGACAGTGAGGTTAAATCTTTCCTGTTTTACATAAACTTGGCTGGTTAGAGCCTGGATGTCGGTGACAAATCAACTGGAAAGCCAGTGTCTGAAATGTGGGGGTGTCATAACCACAGCAATGGAGGGCTAAACTACAGGCTGGGTAAAAAGCCAGTGGACCAAGCATGTTCAAATCCATGTGGGTGCCCTTCAATGTACAATTATCCAACACATCCCCACCCTCTGCAGTCCCCCCACCCCTCTCGGCTCCTGCCCCCAGCTGGGTTCAAATCCCTGACTGTCCCATTCCTTGGGATAAATGTATAAATTTGTCTTCCTGATGTGAAAGTCACTATATAAATGTAAATTTGTTGTTGTTAAGAGAAAACACATGCTAAAACTGGGTGGATTTGCAGTTCCAATATAATGTGAAATTGCAAAATACATACTCACTACACTTTACAGTAAATCTGTGAAACGCTTTAAAATGTCACCCTGTCGTGAAGGACACTATATCAAATGCCAGGTTTATTATTAAATGAAACTTATAGGAAAGCCTTTAGGGTCTTTGAACACAATGTACGGGGCACTTCGGGGCTTGTTATATTCCATATTTTATTTCGATAAGAAAATGAATAATTACAGTGTAAAATACAGGACAATGATACATGGAATCACAGATTTTGAATAAAACCTCAGGATTCTATCCAAACCAAACCCAGGGTTGACATAATTGGTTTTACATGCTTCAAAATGTTAATACTGCAAAACTGACATTTGTGAATATTATTATTTTCCAAGAGTTTCCTTCCTATGACAGGGTATCCTAAAGGCGAGACCAGAGAAAAACTAGTCTGACCTCTCCCCTAACCTCCCCCTAAAGTCACATCCGCGGGGACCATTTTGTTTTTAAATTTACGATCACAAGATTGGTGGAGAATTCTTTAGTCAATTTTATTTCAAACTAATCTTTCACTTGAATCTTTCACTTGTTTTCCCAGTTTGATCAGAGTATTGTCACCAAAAATAACCACTGAACATTGATGTCCCAAGGTCCCTACGTTCCATAATAGTGAACAAATGCCCAGCAGTTTGTATAAATTCCAGTCAATTCCCAAAATATAGCTTTAAATCTTCAAGATTACAGGATTATTATGCAAAAGCAAATATTAGTTATATTTACACAATACTGGCAGGTGATAAATAGTGTGTTCTTTTCTACTAAATCAAGCTTTGAAAATGACAAATTTACTGGGTTTCAGTGACAAAAGGCAGCAGCCAGTTCAGCAATGGAATGTACACAGCAGAAAGGCACAAATCTCACTGAGTCAAGTGAGCTGATCTCAGTGAGCCTGGGTTGGGTCAGGGAGGAAAGGGGAATGTTATCCTGAACATTAGGACACACAGAGGATTATTGACTTCCTAAAGTAGTCACTCGGACAGAGTGAGACAGGGGCCCAGAGACCGTTCCGTGCACTCCACTTGATCAATGATTTACCTATGGCATTAATGTTTAATGTTTGTTATGTTGGTATACACTGGCCAAAGTCTAGGCTCGCTGAATTTCATCATATCATAACTAACAAAATTCTCACTAACTTTTGACAGTTCCAACTTTTGTGCCTGGGCAGCAACTTGAGACCAGGCAGTGTTGGGACCCATCGTCAACACAGGTCAGCCCCTGCTCCCACCCCCTCCCCTCCTTGAAGATGTGAGGAATGCACCCAATGTAGCATGACTCATATCACCAAGCCCACCCTCCAAGGCAGGGATCTTGCCCGTTGCCCAGTACAACAGTCAGAGAACAATGTGCAGTGTATGTGTATTATTCACATTCTAGGCTGACACTCCAGTGCAGTCCAGAGCACTGCAACGTTGGAGGTGCTATCCTTTGGATTAAATTTTAAACCAAAGTCCTGTCTGCCTGTTCATATGAAAGATCCCATGGCATGATTCGAAAAGACAAGGGAGTTTCTACGGTATGAAAGCCATTCTATTAAATATAAGCACTAATATCATAAATTATTATACAATTATATTTTGACACGTTTTACCTTTGACACTAAATGTGCGGAAAGCTTCATTGCTGTCTTTCTGTCTGTGACTGATTCCACAATGCCCAGTGAAACATTTACAATCAGTTGGGTTTTGCTAACCCTTCACGTGTATCTTAGCTTCTCTCCTGTTCCTCCCAATGCAGATGCTACAAAACCAGAAATGTGCGGATATTGCACATTATTTGACAGCTGAAAAAGATGAGGAGGGGTCAGGAGGTTGTGGATTCAAGCCCATGTCAAGACTTTGGGCTCAAAGTCTATGCCAACACAGCAGTGCTGTGCTGAGAATGTGTAGCATTGTTGGAGGTGCCATCTTTTGGATGCAGGGTTGAAACTGAGATCCCGTTTGCTGGTTCAGGTCGACATTAAGGCACTAAAGGCACAATTCACAAAGAGAAGGTTTTCCAGGTGTCCTGGCCAACAATCTTCCAGATAAAATCTGTCATCCACTTCATGGCTGTTTGTGCGATTATTGCTGCATCCATTCACAAAGACACAATACAGTAAATCGTGTGAAGCACTCGAAATATTTTGAGGACGTGGTAAGACACTATATCAAATGCAAAGATTATTATTCAAATGAATTATTGCTTGTATTTGGAACATGTGCTGATTGTTAAGAGCACATGTTAAGAAGCTGCAATTCACAAAATTGCACACATCCTGACTCCATAAGTCACAAACGCCCACACAGTGATCCCAAGCTCAATGAAACACCGCTCATAAACCACAGGGTGCTGTGGCCAAACCACATTCAGTAAGACTCGGGCCACCAATCACCACTTGCTCACATAATCCCTCCATTAAACCAACCTGTGCTCCTGTCCACCCACCTAACCTAAACAAACCCATTTCCTGTGGTGTGGCAGCGCTCAGAGTGAACAAAACAGCCATTAGGTAATGTCTCGAAGCCTCAACCGAGATCATTTCACAGGGACAGATCTGTACAAACTCTGGAGTTCATTTTTCATATTTACTTTTTATTTGAAGGGGTGTCTGCAATTGTGCAAAGAATGGGCTTAGTTCAAGCCCCACATTGGGGACTTTGAACCCTTAGTCTAGGCCAACACACCAGTACAATGCTAGGGGGAGCGCTGAGGTCAGGAAGCATCACTTCACACAAAGCGTTGTAAAGATGTGGAACACTGTGCCATAGAAAGAGACAGAATCAATCAGAGGGATAGAGGGATAGACAGCGACATGGGGAGCAGGTCTATTAAAGTGGGGAGTGAAAGTGCAGGGCAATGAGATTAGAAGATCTGCCAACATCTATAAACTGGTGCAAACAGCACAATGGGCTGAATAGTGTTCTGTGGTGTAAGGTCCTCTGATTCTCCCAACAATTGCTGGAAGGGGCTGAGAAGGGCTTGGAGGCTCCAGTTATGGTGGGGGGAGGGTCCAGCATGGGGGTATAAGGGCTTGGCCTTGGACTTTTAGCTTAGTTTCTCAGCCAGCCAAGATAGGAATAACAATAATAAGAAGAATATTCCTTGCATTTGGTTTGGTCAATAAATGGAATCTTGTTGTTGTTGTTGTTGTTAGTGTCTTTCATAGCAGGGAAGATGAATCAAAGTGCTTTGCAGGATTTGCAGTAAAAGCTTAGAGACAGTGTGTGTTTTATAGGTGGAACGTGAAGCTCAGGAGCTGGGAGCTCAAGGGTTAAGAGGATTCCCAGTGGAAGCAAAGCCTGAACAGAAATGACTGGGTCACCCAACCCTTCACAGCAACCTCCTCTGATCTGCTGTGTTCAGACCACTTTCTATGCTGTACCTTGTGAGCTTTTCTATATTATGTTGGTCAGGACTAGAGCGATGCAGATAGCACTCTGTCTCTACTCTATCCGCTGGTTGGTTGTTTTCCAGGCTACTGCTGTCTGACACAGTGTTTAAAGGACAAGCTAATCAATTTCTTCCAAATGTATATTAAGTTAATAGAAATAAATGCCGCTTGACATTCCTGTTGTGGGTTAAGCTAGTCAGTCCAGGCCATGCCTGGGTCATGCCTTGGAGCAGGTCATGGGGTCCAGGGTGTGGCTCTCGCCTGGCACTCTGCTTGGGCTGCACAGCTCCTTGCTCTGCCGCTCCTCCTCCCGCTGAGTTCTTTTCTTGCGATGGTGCGAGCAGATGACATACATCCCCCTCCCCAGGTAGGCGGTCGCCAGCAGAGTGAAGTAACCAAAGTAAACATAGAACTGCAGAGAGAGAGAGAGGCAGAGAGATTTTCAACAGCTTGTTTACAGTGATACAGCACATAAACATCTAGTCCGTGCCAACTGGAGCCCTATAACGTATGTGGGATCCCTTAGTGTAGTGGTTAGTATCATAGTCGCAAGTGAGAGGACTATGTTTGGTTTCCTTACTCCACCAGCCTCTGTTTACTTAGCAGTAAGTAGGAACCAGGTTGTTGGTTGATTGGCAGATCAATTTCTTAAGGTAATAATCCCTCAAAAAAAACTCAGTCCATGAATGTTTGTGGAACACTGCTGTGGTGTGCAATTGGCTGCCGCATTTCGCCCACAAAATATACAGTCAATCCACTTTACAATAAATTCTGTGAAGTTCTTTGAGATGTCTCAATGATGTGATAAGGCGCTATATCAAATGCAAGGATGATTATATTATTATAGCTCTCTCAAGCCCTCAGGTCCTATGCTCCCTCTACCCCTCTCTTTATGCATTTAAGTATCCTCCTCACTTCCCACCTCTTCCAATGTATCTATGATCACCTCATCATCTGCCCTGCTTGGCATCCAATACCATTCCAGTCTCCTCAGGCTTTTTTTTTCCAAGACACTGCGGAAATACATAAAATAATAGTAATCCTTGTACTTGATATAGCGCCTTTCAGGTCAGGAGGCCGTCTCAAAGAGCTTCACACAATATACTGTAATGACTGTGTATTTTGCAGGCAAATGCATAACATAACATATAAGAGTAGGAGTAGGCGGTTCGGCCCTTCGAGCCTGCCCCATTCAATCATGGCTGATCTTCTAATCTAACTCCAGCTAATAACCTAACCCTGCCTTATCCCCATATCCCTTAATCCCTTTTTGCAATAAGAAATATATCTATCTCAGTCTTGAATATGTTCAAGGACTGAGCGTCAACAGCCCTTTGGGGTAGCGAGTTCCATACATTCACCACCCTTTGAGTGAAGAAGTTCTTCCTCAACTCAGTGCGAAAGGGCTGCCTCTGATTTTAAGGTTGTGACCACTGGTTTTAGTTTCTCCAACCAGGGAAAACAATCTCCCACTATCTACTCTATCATGCCCTTTGATGATCTTATAGGTTTCTATAAGATCCCCTCTAATTCTTCTATATTCTAAAGAATAAAGGCCCAAATTGGTCAGCCTATCCTCGTAACTCATCCTCTTCATCCCTGGTACTAACCTAGTAAATCTATGCTGCACCCCCTCCAAGGCAAGTACATCCTTCCTTAAATAAGGAGACCAAAAATGCAGCAGTGAATTTGCGCACAGCAATGTCTCACAAACAGTCATGAAGTGAGTGAATTAAATTTTTATCTGGGGAATTGTTGGACAGGACACCGGAAGAAACTCACGTCTCTTTCATATAGCACCTTGGTATCTTTAACTGCCTTGCGAGTAGTCAGACGGAAACTCAGTTTAACATCTCATCCAAAGGATGCACCTCCAATGTTGCAATACACCCCCAATAGGGCATTGGAGAGTCAACCAAGACTGTAAGGTCAAAATCTTAATGTGGGATTTAAACCCTAAACCTGCTGATGCAGAGGTGAGAGTGACTGAGCCAGTCTGACACTGACAACAACCCACACATTACAGCGCAGTATCTCTGATGCTACACATGACATCATGTCTACAATACTAAATCATACAATTAAATGAAGGTATTAAGAGGGTATGAGGAAAGAGCAGTCAATTGGGATTAGTACGCTTGGGATTAGTACGATGGGAGGAGCAACTACTGGCACAGAATGGTCTGAATGGCCTCCCTACATAAAATGCTTAAAAGCACTTTGATTTCTATTTAAAGCACATCACATCACTCCAATTCCATCTTTCCTCCACTCTTTTCCCAATTTCAATTCTGCATCATTTTCCAACCAGTGTGCCCTGGTCCAGGTTTGTTTTGCATGTTTCTTACGAAAACAGGTCTACAACACCTCACCCCCACCTGCCAAAAACTCCATCCCCGAATCCCTCCGCATTGCCCCATTGCCTGCTTCAAGGCACTTCTCAAGACCTTTCTCTTCAGCCACCCTCTCCCTCCTGCCCTCACCTATCCTCCACTCCTTTTGAGTCCAACCCCCAGCTCGGGGGCAAGCCCTTAACTGTCCAGCACCTTGGGACATCCTTCCGACATGATAGGCGCTGTATAAATGTAATTTGTTGTAGTTGATTATTGATATAGTCCGTTCAGACCAAACCCTAACCTAAATCGCTTCCAAGACCGATAAACTCCTGCCTGGCACATTATAGGTCGGCTAATAGTCACCAGGGAAGGGATGGACTTGAACCCTGGGATCAGGGAGCAGTGCTGATCAAGTTATGCAACAGTCAGCACTCACGTGTGAAAGGGAGAGAGAGAGCGAAAGAACTAGCAGGTGGCATTGGTGTAGTCTCCAGGTAAAAGTTGCATCTTACAGACCAGGAGCTCACTGGTTCGAATCCCGGTCTGTGCTGGGTTTGCTGGTCTCAGCTGGGGATGAATGTGGAGAATAAATTGGTCCCAGGGTTAGGGGAGGGAAAGTCTAGCAAACGTAGAACAGCAACTCAGCATCAGGATGCCAGACCAGAAGCAGAGAGTCGTACGCAAGCGGGAAGGAGATTAGAAACATTATTGAATACACCAACTTTTCATATATATTTTTTTAAATGTAAAAAAAATCAAGAAGTATTGCCAAAGACTCAAAAAGTTGAATGGCCTCCTCTCTGTGCTGAAAATGTCTCTTTCTAAATTAGCCTGGCCATCACAACTTAGACAAGAATACCTCCACCCGGTCCTTTGACCCCACCCTCGTTATTCGTCTTCCTCCATCCCCATCCCCCAACCCATTGTCCATCCCCTTTGTTGTCAACCCCCAAACCCCCACCAGTCATCCATCCCCATGACCATCCTCTTCCCCTGCTGCTGTCAGAGAGGATGTCCAAGTGCTGACCCACTGCAAAGGGAGCGGAATTTGCTGCCCTCCCTCTCTGTAAACCAGTCTATCAGCCAAAGCAACACTGGAGTCAGTCCAACCTCTCATACAGTGACGACACACACTCTCCTCCTCCACAAACCACACATGCTTCACAGTTCAGCTGAGGTTTAGCTGCTTAATAATAAAAATAAAACCTGTTTTTGGTGCCGTGTGCGGCTTTGATGAGCAAAACAAAAACGTAACATTTGGCTGATAATAACAAACAGATGGCTGGACGGAAAACCAGGAATCCAATGTTTGGAGACAGATTCTGCTGCCACTGTGGCTTTGGCTGTCTCTTATAGAGTCCACAAGTTTCCAGCTTCCTGTTTTTTGGTAAAACAGGGCAGTAAAACTGTGGTTGTGGTGATGGATTTTGGAACTATGTAATCTCCTGTGTCTGAAACCACACAGACACAGCTTTGGCAGCTGAATGTACCTAGAGCTCAGTCATCTTCCTGGATTCAATTACTTGAAAAGGTCCACGAGCATCTCCCTCAGCTTTACTTTTAAGAGTAAAAATAACAACAATCCTTGCAATTAGAATAGTGCTTTTAACTTAGGGAGAGTATCCCAAAGTGCTTCCAGGTATACCTTGAGGTGGAGTGACTGTGTATTTATTTGCAGGGGAACGCAGCAGCCCAAATGCGCACAGCAATGTTCAGCGAATAGCTATAAAACTAATTTTATTTGGGGGAGTAGTGGCCTGGACACCAGAAGAAACTCCCTTCTCTTTTCGAGTAGGGCTGTGGGATCGTTAACATCCATCCTCCTGAACAGGCAGATGGAACCACCAGGATGGGTTTAAATGTCTTATCTGAAGGACAGCACCTCAATCAATGCAGCACTCCCCCAGTGCTGCACACAAACTTACTATTTGATGAAAAAAGCCTGGGTCAGTAGCAATCTCTCTTCTGAGTCAAAAGGTTATGGGTTTAAGCCCCACGTTGGGACTTTGAATTCACAGTCTAAACTGACACTCCTATACGATGCTTTGAGAAACCACATCAAACATAAGGATTATTAGTACGAAAAATGAATGTTCATTTTGCCCTCTCCCCGAAGAGAAAAGGAGTTAGACAGTTTCTGGAGAAGGGAAGAAATTAATGGAGACAAAAAAATAGTAACAGTATTTTTCTCTACAACTTGGTCTTCTGGACAAAGCTGGTTTCAAAGCTTTGGCCTTGGAGCATAGTAAAGAAGTCATTTTATTCACTCTCTTTCTGGCAGCCCATTTTGCCTTTTAATATATCCTTCAATAATAATTGCATTTGATATATGCCCTTTTGCTGTTTCATTTTAACCCCAATTTCTTTAGTCATCCACAGAGAGCTTTGGATGCCCTACCTTTCCCCTTCATAGGAATGTGTTTAGTCTGCCTCCGAAGTATCTCCTCCATAAAGGCCTCTAATTGCTCCTTTACTGTTTTACCTGCCAATCTTTGTTTCCAAAGAAAAGATCCCTTTTCAACTCTCTGAAATCACTCCTCTTCCAGTTGGGTATCTTCACTTGGGTTTACTGTATATTTTATGGACGAAACGCAACAGCCAATTGCGCACAGCAATGTCCCACCAACGCTCTTGCATTGAGTGACCAACATTTTTTTGGGGGTGTGAGGGGGGAGATAGGTTATTACCCATGGAGAGCGATACGCCAGCAACTAACATGGAAAGTAACTAACATCCGGGTTCCTACTTACTGCTTAAACAGCGGCATGTAGACTAAGGAAATTTGCCTAAGGTTTCACCCTACCCGGAAATCGAACCCAGGTACTCCCAGTTGCAAGGCGAGCTTGCTAACCACTAAGCTATACGACTCCAGTTATATTGTATGTATATATGTATGTGTACATACATGGTAGCGCTTAGCTGATCAGATTCTGTAAGGGGTGGACAAGAAGTGAAGAGACTCTAAAAGTCCTGTAGCTCAGTGGTTAGGCACTCGCTTTGCAAGTGAGAGACCTGAGTTCAATTCCAGGCAGGGCGAAACCTTGGGCAAGTTTCCTTACTCCACACACCTAATAATAATCCCTCCAAAACCAAAACAATAATAAATTGGTCATTTTCAATCTACGACTGTTTGTGGGACATTGCTGTGCGCAATTGGCTGCCGCGTTCGCCCACAAATATACAGTCAATTCACTTTACAGTGTGTTCTGTGAAGTGCTTTGGGACGTCCTCCCGACGTGAAAAGCGCTATACCAAATGCAAGGATTATTATTATTATTATTATTAAGTCTGGTCAGAAATCAAAATTTACAATGTTTCCATTAATAATAACCCGCAACACTTGATATTGTGCTCATACATCAACTGCTCAAAGCATCAATAGTGCCATGAACCACCTGAACAAGGGACGGGTCTCAGTTTAACAACTCATCCGAAGGATGGCACCTCTGACAATGTAGCACTCCCCCAGCACTGTGTTGGAGTGCCAGCTTAGACTATACAAGTTCAAAGTCCTGATGTGGGGGGCTTGAAACCACAACCTCTTGATCCTTGAAGCCACAACCTCCTATCTCGGAGGCAAGAATGCTACCAACTGAGCTAGGCTGCCAAACATAGCTGCTCTGGTACAAACACTAATTACTTACCGAACCCTACAGTTAATCTTCACACAGGCAAACAAATTAAAGGTTGGTTTGACATAATGAGGGCTGACAGATGGGGTGGGGGGATGTAAATAGCTCATTTGTTTGTTCTTGACTCAAGATTATTCTTGTGATAAGCAGCTGAAAGGTTCCTAAAGCCAGTGGATAAATGTGGAATTGTCAGCCTTGCGAGCGAGCACGTATCCCTAACTCCTCCCCCACACTTTTTTTAAAAAATTCTTGTGTTCCCAGGCCCCAGTACGGAAAAACAGCCTGAAATTCAGTCTCAGAAGCCGATTTTCCGCTGTTCTTCGCATGCATCAAATTATGATTTAAGCCTGTGGTCTTAAGCCTAAAATACATGAGGAATTTCTCCACACCTCCTCCTCCTCCACCAGGATTGAGTTGGCCAGGCTGTGATGGAAATCTCCCATTACAGAGATGTTATTATGTTTAGCAACAAGTTTAGAACAAAATTGACCGCGACTCATTGACAAACCCCTCCCACTGACAGCCCTCTCCTCCTCCTCCACAGCCATTTACCTTCTGTTTCTCCCCAGATCCTTTTTTTGAAGATATCTACCTAGTTCCCTCCTAAATACCAATATGGATCCTGCCTTGACACCACACCCAACTCCCTGAATAAAAACATTCTCCTAATCTTCCCCTTATCAATTATCTTAAAACAGATTCAAGCCCTGTCAGCACTTTTTGAGCTCACAGTCTAGGTGGACACTCCAATGCAGGGCTGGGGGCATGTTACATTGTTGGAGGTGCCATTCTTCGGATGAGACCTTAAACCGAGGTCCTGTCTGCCTGTTCCGGTGTGCTATTGGAAAAGAAAAGGGAGTTTCTTTTTCCCGCTGTCCTAGCCGACAATCCCCCCAAAAAATCGGTCATTCAATTCACTGGCCCTTTGTGGGATGTTGCTGCCACGTTGATCTACAAGTAGTTACTACACTTCACAGTAAAAACATCCTGTGAAGCAGTTTGATATGTCTCAACGGCATGATAATAAGCTACATTAAATGGAAGGATTATTATTATTATTAATACATTGATGCCCTTTAGTCACCTAGGGAATAATTCCTCCATGATTCTCCAGAAGAGGACGGAGAAAGTGGAACGTGGTAGGTAGAAACATTGGAGGCAGGGAAGCAAAGACCTGATGTAACTGGTCCAATAGCTAACAAACTGGAGTTTTGGGCAGCAACCAGCCAGTATGTTGTTAGCCTCAGCCTCGGCATCAGCTCCCCCAGAGCCTGTGAGTGGCCAGGCACACAATCCTCTCCTATTCACCACCCCCCAAAAACACATACAGACATCAGTCAGCATCAGACGCCCACCACTGCCCACCACTCCTCAGACACCTCTCGGCCAACATCTCTCCTGCTTCCATTACCTGAAGGAACAGAATGTTTATAGTCTACAGCCCGTTCTCTCCCCTAACCCACCACCCCCCCAAACGGCAAAAGGAATCGCAAGTGGCAATCTCCATTCTGCAAGAGGAGACTCCTACTGCCCTCTAGCCCAGGGTAGATGTGACAGTGTGGTGTATTAGAGCTGGGGTTTTTTTACGGTCTGTGCTCATGTCGGTCACCCACCTGGTTGTTGACATGCAGGGCCAGACCCCTCTTGTCAGCGATGATGATGGTGATTATGGTTTTGAGAATGGTGGCAAGGAAGGTGTTCATTCCGAAGACAAGGGCACACAGCTCCTTAGTCAGGGATGTGGCGATCTGGAAACTAAAGAGCACACGAGAGGCCATCAGCAACACAGCAGCCAACCCCAGCGGCCCTGACCACAGCTTACACCCCCCACCCTCCAATCGGGGAATCTTTAACATCCAGCGAAACCATCATCCCTGAGCCTGGATTAATGCTGCATGTACTAACACACATAACTCACATGGTGACCCTGACACACAGGGCTCACACGGTGACCCTGACACACAGGGCTCACAAGGTGACCCTGACACACAGGGCTCACACGGTGTCCCTGACACACAGTGACCCTGATACACAGGGCTCACACGGTGACCCTGACACACAGGACTCACACGGTGACTCTAACACACAGGGCTCACAAGGTGACCCTGACACACAGGGCTCACACGGTGTCCCTGACACACAGTGACCCTGACACACAGGGCTCACACGGTGACCCTGACACACAGGGCTCACACGGTGACCCTGACACACAGGACTCACACGGTGACCCTGACACACAGGACTCACACAGTGACCCTGACACACAGGGCTCACACGGTGACCCTGACACACTGTACTCACACGGTGACCCTGACACACTGTACTCACACGGTGACCCTGACACACTGTACTCACACGGTGACCCTGACATACTGTACTTACATAGCAATGGGCACCAGGAACTGGTGGCTGCTGCGGAACAGGACAAAGGCCACATAACAGATCCAGATGTTGGTGGTGGTGTTCATGACGAAAAGGAGGGCAGCCTGAGCGGCCGTGATTACACAGATCACAGCCTCCCCCCACAGGGACCAGCGCAGCTTCACGTGGCCAGCCGAGAATGAGGCAATGGCTCCTGTGGGCAGGAGAGGCATCAGAATCTGGGTACTGACGCACACACAGCACTGACCCCACAAACATACCCCGACACATACACAGCACCGCCCCCCCCCCGCCCTCCCCCCAAAACACAAACATACACATAGCACACACCGATACACCCACCCACACAGCACCTTCCCCAAACGCACAGCAACTGAATATGCATGGGTCTCCATATGTCTGTGTGCGCACATGTATGTCCGTTTGTGTACGTTTGTGTCTCTGTGAGTGTGTGTGCGTTTGTGCACGCACATCTGTGGATGTATGTGTGTGTCTGTGTATGTACGTGTGTTCGTGTGTACGTGTGCGTGTGTCTGTATATGTACGTGTGCGTACGTCTGTTTATGTACGTGTGCGTGTATCTGTATATGTACGTGTGTGTACGTGTGGCTGTTTACGTGTGTGTGCTCAGTGTCACTGGTTAGACTTTACAGGCCTGGTCCTGGTTGTCCGGATCAGGCCCCCAAAGCCTACAGAGACCCTGACTCTGTACCTAGCAGTGTGGCGGCTGCATCCACGCCTCCGTTGTAGACTCCCTGGTTTTCCCGCGCTGGGGAGATATTGTCCCAGAGGATCTGGACATAATACACTACCAGGTAATAGCCCGTCGAGTTGAAAACCCACCACACTGACCACAGCTTCAAACGAGGAGATCGCACAGTGTCTGGAAAGAGAACATAGGAAGTGAGCCAGACTGACCTGAGCCGCCGCACACTTCCCTCAACTAACAACAACAACTTGCACTTATATAGCACCCTCACATAGGATAGCATCTTAGAGCACTGTACAAACCTAAATCACTAGTTAGTCAATATCCACCGGAGATTGGCTGGGGGGACAAGGGGGTATCTGTATCGCTGCGGCTGAGCTGAGCTGCCTCCAACAAGATGTGTCTGGTAATGGAATGTAACATACTCTGGGGATATCAAGCATTGGCTCTTGCCAGCCTGTGCCTAATATTCTCCGGAATTAGGTAAGAAGGGTGTGGCCCTCTGGTGGTGGGGAGTGGGGGTGGGGGGAGAAGAGTGGATATTCTATTCCAGATACAGGGAAATTTGGTTTGGGTACTAAAAAGCATGGAGATGTGTTTCCCTGTGTTCTAGACACCTGGCTGACCGCAAAAAAATGAATGTGATTTGCTCCCACAACTACAGAGAAATGATAAGAGATTTTATAAGAATGTGAAACATGGTTCCAAGTTATTGATGGTGAAGTAATTGAGGAGAAATAGGTACTTTCAGATGAGACCTTAAACCGAGATCCCATCTGGCTGTTTAGGCGGATGTTAAAGTTGTCATGGCACTATTTGAAAAGAGGAGTTTCTTCCAGTGTTCTGGTAAATAATCAACCAAATAAAACTGGCCAGTCACATAATAATAATAATAATAATAATAATCCTTGCATTTGATTTAACACTTTTCAAGTCTTCTAGACGTCCCAAAGCGCTTCACAGAATATACTGTAAAGTGAATTGACTGTATATTTGTGGGCGAACGCAGCAGCCATTGCGCACAGCAATGTCCCACAAACAGTCGTGGATTGAAAATGACCAATTTATTATTGTTTTGTTTTGGAGGGATTATTATTAGGTGTGTGGAGTAAGGAAACTTGCCCAAGGTTTCGCCCTCTGCCTGGAATTGAACCCAGGTCTTTCGCTTGCAAAGTGAGTGCTCTAACCACTGAGCTACAGGACTCCAATCATGGCTGTTTGGGGAACATTGCTCTGTGGATATGGGATGACATGTTCACCTATAAAATACAGTCACTAGGCTTCACTTCCTGTGAAGTGCTTTAAGACAGTACAACAACATGATACGGCGTTATATCAAATGCAAGGATTATTATTATTACTACTACTAGGGAAGCATATTGAGGGATGCCGAGAAAAAGCAAGCAAATGGGGTGAAAAAGTGAAAGTGCTGTGAGCAGAATCGGCTCAATGGGCTGAATGGCCCCTTCCTGTTTGGATGACACAATATTAAGTAGGATATGGCTGCAAGGTGCAAGCCCTCTCACCCAGTGATTGAGCAGGGTAGTGAGGTACAAGCCCACCCACTGGCAATCACAGGCAACTCTTACAAGTCAAGGCTTCCACTAACCTTTCAGCTCCAAGAGCATCCTGACTAGTGCGGCCTCACGCCAATCCCAGCGCTTGGCAGCTTTCGACTTCTCATTAACCAGCCGGACAGAGATAGCCTTGTCCGCCTCATCAGGGACTGCGCCATTGGAGTCCAAGGCCTGGGTGTTGAAGAACATGGTCCTTTTGGGCCTTTTAAGAAACAGGGTCAAGGTGAAGGCAAAGCTGACGAAGCCCAGCGAGATGTAGTTCAGGGTGTAGAAGGGAACGCTGCCCAGGGTGACAAACAGCTGTCCCAACACCGAGCTGACAAAGACCCCCATGAGGACCGAGGAGCGGGAGTAGCTGGCCACCATCTGGTAAGACTGGGGGGTGACCAAAGTGAAGATATAGGAGGAATAGGCCACCCTCGCAGCCATGGTGATGCCGTAGAAGAACTCCATGAACTGCATCTGCAGGACGGTGGTGCCGAAGAGGAGCATCAGCCAGATGGCCACATGGCTGAGGCTCTGGAGGATCAGGACAGGCTTGTATCGCAGGTAGTCAGTCAGCAGGAACACCGGCACCAGGACCGACATGTAGGAGTAGGACAGCACCGGTGTGATCTCGTTAGTGACCTGTGAAAGAGAAACACATCGCTCAATGAGGCTCCGACCCCTCCCAGGGTATGACTTTCAACCACTGCACGCTCACGCAGCCTGCCTCATGTCGGGGGGACAGTTCAAGGCCTTCCATAATAACTATTGGGGAAAACTAAGGAAAATCAATGGGTACTTAGAGGAATGGGGGGCAAAAAGAGAGGTTTTGAAGCAGGTCTTGGGAGAATTCCAGAGAGCCTCAGGGTTGGGGGGTTGATGGTTGGACGAAGGGAGTCATTTGAAAAACAGCCTTGATGCTGTGATGGGAGGACAGTAGGGTGGGTGTTCTGGAGGGATGAGATCAGACACAAATTACATTTGTGTAGCACCTTGCACATCGGGAGAATGTCCCAGGGCGTTGGACAGTCAGGGATTGGGATCAGGAGGGTGGAGGTTAGGAAGGGTAGGAGGGTAGCTAAAGGCACATTCGAAGAGGAGCGTCTTAAGACGTGCCTTGAAGGAGGCAAGGGAGGGAGCAAGGCAAAGGGACTGTGGGATGGAGTTCCAAAGGGTGAGGGCAGAGAGACTGAAGGCCCAACCACCGATGGTAGGGCAAGCCGGGCGGGGGACGTGGAACAGGCTGGAGCCTGCTGAGCAGATGTTGATATGGCATTAGCAGGTCATGAAGGTAGGAAGGAACAAGGCCATGGAGGGCTTTGAAGGCGAGGATGAGTTGAAGAGTTCTGGATAATCTGCAGCTTGTGGAGGGAAGAGTTGGTAAGGTCGACAAGCAAGGAGTTGGACTAGTTGAACCTAGATGTGATGAATGCGTGGATGAGATTTTCGGGGGCTTGAGGGGAAAGGCAGTGGCGGAGCCGGGTGATGTTGCAGAGGTGGGGGAAGGCAGAGCAGGTCATGGCAAGGATGTGGGATAGAAAGAACATTTGAGTGTCAAAGAAGATGCCAAGGTTGTACACTGGTTTAGTAAGGTGGAGTGTGTATCCATGGATGGTGATGCTGTCAGTGCCTAAGGTGTGGAGGCGCTGATGGGAGACAAGCATGAGGGCCTCGGTCTTGTTAGCGGTCAACTGCAGAAAGTTAGCTCTCATCCAGGACTTGATGTCTGACACACATTCTGTCAGGACAGGGGTGTTCCTGGAGTTGAGAGTGGAGGCAGAGAGATAGAGTTGGGTGTCATCCGCATACATGTGGAAGTTGACCCCACGTCTGCGGATGATGTCACCAAGAGGGAGCATGTACATGTTGAAGGGGAGAGGACCAAGGACAGAGCCCTGAGGAACACCGAACGAGATGGTGCGAGGCTGGAGAAGAAGCTGTTTGTGGAGACAAAGTAGAGACATTGTGAAAGGTAGGATCTGGAGTCCTGTAGCTCAGTGGTTAGAGCACTCACTTTGCAAGCGAGAGACCTGAGTTCAATTCCAGGCAGGGCGAAACCTTGGGCAAGTTTCCTTACTCCACACGCCTAATAATAATCCCTCCAAAAAACAAAAACTATAATAAATTGGTCATTTTCAACTACGACTGTTTGTGGGACATTGCTGTGCGCAATTAGCTGCCGCGTTCGCCCACAAATGTACAGTCAATTCACTTTACAGTGTGTTCTGTGAAGCGTTTTGTGACGTCCTCCCGATGTGAAAAGCGCTATATCAAATGCAAGGATTATTATTATCTGAGCCACTCCAGGACAGAACCATAAAGGTTGAGGTGAGAGGAGAGGTGATGGAGGAGGATAGAGTGGTCGATAGTGTCAAAGGCTGCAGAGAGGTTAAGGAGAATGAGGAGACAGAAGGAATCCTGGTCACAGATGAACAAAATGTCAATTGTCACTTTAACTAAGGCTGTTACTGTGCTGTGGGCTGCACAGAAACCCAATTGGAGGGGTTCATAGAAGGAGTGGCGGGACAGAAAGGAGTGAAGCTGGGAAGCAACAACTCGTTCAAGGACCTTGGAAAAGGACGTTGGATGGGTCCAGGAAAGGTTTTTTGAGGATGGGGATGATGAGGGCTGTTTTTAAGTGGGTGGGAACAGTGCCGTGGACAAGGAGAGGTTGATGGGACTAAGGCTCTTTGCTATCTGAACCAATCTTGTGATCTGCTGAGCTTCTAAAATAGGTATCTGAGAGAGCACCTTGTGGAGGTGTTTCACAGTGCCGCATGTGGCAGAAGTCCACAGCAGATGTGGCAGGTGCGGCATTGGTTCAAAGACCAAAGAAAATATAGGTTGTGAGGAAATGGTCAGGAATGCAACCGTTCACCTTGCAACAATGGTGTAAATCCTGCTGCTATTTTACCTGGTTGTTGAGTTAACATTGGCTCCCAGTGAGCTGGCTTTCACAATCTGTTAATAATCATTCCACTCTTCCCTTGTCCAGAGGCAACTTCGACTGCCCCATTGACAGACACGGCCCCTCCACCAGGGGGAGCAGCCCCACCTCACCCTGCCCCAGGTTCAGAGATCATTGATCTCTTTGGTCACTGTCCCCCTGAATGGTGATGGGGATGGTTTCCGTTGGTGCTGGGCTCCCTCCATTACTTTGGGCAAGTCTCCCTCGCCAATCCATCCAGTCACTCCTGGAGCTCCTCCCTTATCCCTGACCTCCCTCATTGTCGCCCTTTCCTCACCCCACCCTCGTTTGAGCATTCCATCTCTCCCCTCCTCCTCCTCTACCCCATCATGATAGTGATCACAAACAGGGTGGATGCACTGCTTTACACTCCTTTCCCCCCGCCACCCCACACACACAGCTGTTCATGGGACATTGCTGTGTCCAAATTGGCCACTTTGTTTGCCTACAAATTACAGTCACTACATTTGACAGGAATTGCCTGTGAAGCTCCCCAAGATGTTTTGTTGTTGTAGGTGTTGGATCAAATGCGAGTAATATTATTGTTGTTGTCAATGTTGCCCAGGTCAGTATTTCCGAGAAGAGAAGGAAGCTCTCGCTGTCTCCGGGCCCGTCTGTGGGACATTGCTGAGCGCTTTAAGTGCTCTGAGATGCTACCCTGCATGGAGGGGGCTATATAAGTGCAAGTTGTTGTTGTTTGCCTACCTGTCAGTGACTACACTTAAAAGTAAATGGCTTTGGGATATTTCAACCAGATAAGACACTGAATCAAATGCAACTATTCTTGTTTTAAATAGTTAAGGAATCTTCAGTGGCATCCGATTCAATACCTTGATTGGGTATGAATATCTGATGAATACCACCATTGAATCTGCTGTTGAGCGGAAAGCCTCAAAATGAACCGAAGTAAGAACAAATAATATTAATAATCGTTGCATTTAATAAAGCACCACTGACATCAAGTCCTGGATGAGAGCTAATTTTCTTCAGTTGAACGTCAACAAGACTGGGGCTCTCCTGATTGGCTCCGGTCAGTGCCCCCTCACCTCAGGCGCGGATAGCATCACCATCCATGGTTGCACACTCCATCTTGCTAAGCCAGTCCGGAACCTTGGCATCTTGTTTGACCCTCAACTATCCTTTCTATCCCACATCTGCGCCATGACCCACCTCCGCAACATCGCCCGGCACCGCCACTGTCTCACACTGCAGACCGCCGAAACCCTCATACATGCTTTCATTACATCGAGGCTTGACTATGCAAACTCCTTGCTTTTCGGCCAACCCAACTCCTCCCTCCATAGGCTGCAGATCATCCAGAACTCTGCAGCCCACGTCCTCTCCTGCACTAGGCTCCGCGCCCCTATCACCCCCATCCTCGCCCAACTCCACTGGCTTCCCATTACAGAGGACACAGTTCAAGATCCTGGTCCTCACCTTCAAAGTCCTCCATGATCTTGCTCCCCCCTACCTCTGCAACTTCCTAACCCGCTACCATTCTGCTCACTCCCTCCGCTCAGCGGGCTCTGGCCTGCTTCACATCCCCCGCTTTGCTCGCCCCACTATTGGCGGGCGGGCCTTCTGCCACTCTGCCGTCACCCTCTGGAACTCTATCCCGCAGTTACCTCTGCTTCGCCCCCTCCCTTGCCACCTTCAAGATCCATCTCAATACCCTCCTCTTCGACCGTGCTTTCAATCTCTCTGCTTTGCCCCCTGCCCTCCTGTCTCCCTAACCCCCAGCTCGAGTACAAAACTCTGTCGGTCCAGCGCCTTGGGACGTCCTCCTGATGTGAAAGGCACTATAGAAATATAGTTTTGCTGTTGTTGTTGAGACATCTTAAATCGCTCCACAGAATATATTGTGGGCGAAAAACAAACTCCGGGATCTAAACCCTCCTGTGCTGGAGATCGTTCCAGATTAAAAACAAACAAATCTTCACACCACCAGCACTCTCCACTTTTCACACATCTCTCGTGCTGCCTCATACTACCCTCCTTGCTAGTTTGCATTGCTCTCTGATTTCAGTATATTGAACAGAAATACCCAGCAATACGATCCGTGCAGCAAATTTCCACCAACTCTCTGATTATTCCCCATAAAACCAACCAGAAACAAAATCTCAAAAACAACCAGTGAAAGGTGTAAACAGCACATTACTGCCAAGGGTTTTACTGCAGATCCAGGCAGGCGCACTTTACTGTTTGTTGCTGGCTGGTCAGCAGGACTTGAAGGAGTAGAAGTCACTAGAAGCAGGGATTCCCCCACTCAGCTATTGTTAACCCTGCAAGCCAAAGCCCTAACGGGTCGGCTAGCTGGAGTCCTGTAGCTCAGTGGTTAGAGCACTCGCTTTGCAAGCGAGAGACCTGAGTTCAATTCCAGGCAGAGGGCGAAACCTTAGGCAAGTTTCCTTATTCCACACAGAGCCTAATAATAATCCCTCCAAAACCCAAAACAATAAATTGGTCATTTTCAATCTATGACTGTTTGTGGGACATTGCTGTGCGCAATTGGCTGCCGCGTTCGCCCACAAATATACAGTCAATTCACTTTACAGTGTGTTCTGTGAAGCGCTTTGGGACGACCTCCCGATGTGAAAAGCGCTATATCAAATGCAAGGATTATTATTATTATTAAGCATCAGGAAGCTTGCCAGATAGTGCTCCCAATGGCAAG